ATTTCTTCTTTATGAATTGCTTAGGAAAGACAGCGAAGTGGTTTCTTGTTACTTTTCCACATTTTTTAATTTAATAATTAGTTATCTTCCCCTAGACTGGCTTCCATCCAAAGCTCAAGCACCCAATCTAGTCTGCTATTTAACCCATACATGGGAGGAGGAGAAGAGATGGATTCTTCTAAGGATATTTGTTAAAGTGTATACAACAGACTAGGTGGGAATTTGAAATCAGATTGTTGATTCCATTTCCAGCATCAATGACCATCAGGTTGCTATCACAAACTGCTTGTTGTCCAGGACTTAAAGTGAGTGCTATGTAGAAAGGCTGTTATCATAAAACTTGTTTTGCTTCTTATAGTTCTAAAACAAAGTCAAGTTTTATACCAACCCTCACTAACTGAGCACCCACTGATGATGAGATGCAAAATCATCAATATGTAATACAAGTATGTTAATGCACTCAATGTGTATGGTTTTGTACCAGTTAATTTGATAAGTAAAAACTTACAAGAAGGTGATTTTCAACAGAAATAGTTATGACAATCAGTATAATTTCATTTGATTTCTTTTTATAAATATTAACATATTTAACATTAGTATTAAATACATTTGCAGTTATATCTAAATGTAACAAAGAACCTTGACCATCACAGATCAATGCGAAAAGTCATCTGCAATAGTGGGTCATTGAATTAGCATTGTGAAGAGACAACAAATTCTCTTCTGAAGAACCAATATGCTGCTTATTCATATCATAACTCAAGATGATAATGTTATAGCTGTTTCTATACAGGAAACATTCAGGATTAAGCATTTATTAACTGAACAATTAGTGTTACTACCAGGTCAAATTTATAAAATCTTTCTCTTCAGTTTTCAGGAAAATAGATTAAAAGAATTTTAGCAGAGAATAGAGAATGTCAAATCACTTATCCTGAGTATTATGAATGACAAACAAAAAAAACATTAGACTGAGAAATTTGAAAGACATTTACATTTATTAAATGACATAAAGGCAAGATAACAAGTCCTAATTACAATTCTGTTGGGTCCATAAAAACAATTATTATTATCAACAAAATATTCATTTATCTCTATTCATTCAACTGTTGAATTGAGCAGGAAAATTTCTTACAGATGTTGCTGGGTTTCTGGTTAGTTTACTTTTAGACAATAGTTCAGTTTTACAAATTGAGATTCAAAATTTAAATAAATCTCAAATTTTCTTAATAAGTTCAAATAATTGTGATAATCTTTCTTAAATAACTATAGAAAGATAATTGCATATCTCTCTAAATTTGAAGAATCTTCTTTCTGCTTCTTCCTTTTCTTTCTTTTCATTGTCGTTAACTTAGTTTTTCTTGATTCAGTTCTCAGAAAAAGCCCATGACCATTTGCCTGTGAAAGACAAAATCCTTCTTAAATAGCCACAAATCTGCTCCAAAATCAAAAAAAATTGTAAACTATGTAGGTGTAACTTTTCTCATTGGTTAAAAATCACAAAATGTATCTCTTTAAACCATACCTGTTCACAAACTTTATTTTGACAGGTTTTGAGATCTGAGACTCTTTTTTAACAAATTTTTTAAAGCCAAATTTTATTTATGTATCTTTTTTTTAGAAACCAGGCTTCATTTTGGCATTTTTACATCAGATCTGAGCCACTTTTATTTTTATTTTTTATTTTTTTTTACAAATATTGAAACCTAAATTTTATTTATATAGCTTTTCTATAAATCACAAGGTTTAATTTTGGTGTATTTTTACATCAGATTTGAGCCTATTTATTTTTTAAAGTCTTACTGCAGAAGTATTCAAAATTCAACAAAAATATTTTTTCTGTGATAAAAATAAAGTAGGTATTTGTTTGTAATTAAAGAAAATATTAGTTTTTATTTGCTCTTCATGAAAATATAAACACACATGTAAATTTGATACACAACAAAAGTTACAATACTCCTAACACCATTATAACTACAATTATCAAAGAATTATCTAATGATGTTAAACTGTTCACATGTTTTTAGGATGCTTTGCCATAAGGTAATGGGTAGCAAATTATACTTCCATATCATTTTTTAAATGCCATGTCCCTTCTGAAAATAGGTAACCATGACACTTCACAGATTTCCTTCCTTTATTGTCTGTGAATCATCATGCATTCTTGTGAAAGACAGTGGAATGGATTCCTTTTGCCTTCTCCATGGTTTGGAATTCAGTTTTCCTTTTCTTAGAGTAGTTGCCATGCAATGGTAGAGAACCCAGTCAGCCCTGCTATTTAACCCATAGTTGGTGGGGAAAAAGCAGATGTATACCTTTCATGAGGGCATTTGTGCAAAAGTGAATGCAACAAACTAAACCAGAATTTGAACTTGGCTCACTGATTACACTTTCTGCATTAATATCCATTACACTACTTACACCAGTTACAAACTGGCTAAGGTGTTAGCTTGCCCAATGGAATGGGGGCACCTGTTGGAGTAAACTATTAAAAATATCAATCAATTACTTAAATTTGAAAAATAAATCAAATTTCAATTATAACATTCTGTATTTACATTTGGTATCTCTTATACCCTTTTTTTTCTATATGTATTTTTGAAAATTTTATTTATTCACTATGAAAATTAAATAATAGCATTCTAGTTGATGGTGGACCCCTTTTGTCTCCTAGCAACCAATATTTTAGGCACTAGTCTGCCACTGGCCCACACATCTGGAAAATGATTAGTGTAAACAGTTCATTCCTCACTTGATGTCCTATGTTTGTAACCTTCTGCCAGTTTATTTAAAATGTATTATTATAAACATGTTCATTAACATACACATTCTGTTGACTTGTGTTAAAAATTTAATGTTTTCAGTATGTATCTTTTTGAAATTTAGGACATTTTATATAAATACTGTATAATTCTGAGTATAAGGTGACCTCAATAATACAATGTAAAAAAATATAGCAAATTTTCATGAATTTATTCTATATCTGTAGTATAAGAAGACTGTTTATGGATTATATAAAGATGATGTTATTGGAAATTTTGTTATTTACTGTATCTTTAGAAATTCAAAATAAACAAAATAACAAAACCGTTTCTATATCATGTTTTCGTACACACATCCCCTAATCAGTATAATTTCATTTGATTTCTTTTTATAAATATTAACATATTGTTTTGTTTATGTTTCATCATGTAATCTCTTTCAAATATTGATTCTTCTTCTTCCTTTATATCTAAACAGTTACAAACAGCCTGGTGTACTAATGGCCATTTACTTATACTTCATCGACAATCACAAAATACTGCTAATAACAGTACAATAAATGTACGATAATAGTACATTCCATCACTGTGAACAAAATCATAACTCAATATTTTCTCAGCTGAGCTTGCGTGCATACAAGTTGATTTCATTGATATGGAATTATTCTTTGAATAGGCAATTTATTAAGTTATGCCTATGATATATAAGGTAGAAATGGTTTTATTACTTTTATTATCAGTTTATTTAATAATGTGAATCTTTTCATTTATGTTATTGATTATTGCACTGAGATTGAGGTTATTCTACTGGCAAACATTACTCAGAATAATAAGTTTCTTTTTTAGAATTGTAGAGTAAGACAACCCCCAATTTTTAAAGGTGATTTTTGGGATTTAAAGGTTGTCTTAAACATGGAAATATATGGTAGTTTCCTATTGCTTTTTATTTATATAAATGCAAAAAAAGAGAGATTATCTCTACCTGTTTTAGTATTTAAGTTTTTGCACCAATTACTTTTGTATCAGTAATAATGTTAACACCCTCATTTTAAAATTCCATCATCCAGTCTTTTTTCCTTTCGGATCAACATCAAAGAGCATATGATGTGTGCATATGCTCATTTCAATTTGCTCTCAATTAATATATATATATATATATATATATATATATATATATATGAAAGCAAAATTATCAATTGATCAATGTTATCAATAAAATGATTAACATTTTACCTTTTTAAGTATTTATATAATTTTCATTAATTTCTTCCATCATTTGAAAATTTTTGTAAACCTTCATACATACATTATTTATTTACTTTCTGAAACATGGTAACTGAAATATAAAATCAGGTAGAAATATATTCAATGACTTCCTACCTAACCATATTGACTGTTATTGTAGGTATATTCTTCTTCTTTTATCTACCTATTACTACTGATATATGTTTCAGACGAGTTATTTATACTTAACTAAATGCATATATATTCATCTGTAAAGTTTATGTTTTCCAATCCTTTGCACCAACCAGAAAGTTATATTCAGTGATATTTATCATTGATTTAAAATTAGAGGCTTGGGCAGCTGACATCTAAGGGCGATAACTCTATTATGGCGCGACGACTACACAAGTCAGGTGACCATTATTTACATCCACCATGTTGGTTGGATGTCAGCTGCCTACAAAGTAGTGAGTGGCTCATTTGTTCAGAGGGATTTGTCTTATCAATGAAGTCAAGCAATAGTCAAGTGGAAGAAAAAAATGCTCGTGTATTTCTGCTTTTGATAGAGCCCAGTAGGCACCAATTAATAATCACCAAAATAAGTTAAACAAAAAGTTTATTAACTGAAGTACGTAAAAATGGCGACTCAGACTAGCCCAAGGGAGGTGATGTGACGTGTCAAACAAAACAAAAATAAGAACAGTTTTTCTTTTACAATTTTAATTGCTAGTTAGCTAGTCAGATTTTTAAAAATAATGTCTGAACGTTATCTTTCTCAATGTAATTGTTGTCTGTTACAAAGTTGTAGTGTTAGCGGTTGTTATGGCTGTGTGCTGTCACGGTGAGAAAGGTTTGTACTAAAAAACTAAAAAAAACAAAGCCGCCCTCGGCAAAATGTGGGTGAGGATTGTGTTACTAATAATTTATATTGCCGTCCTATTTGTTATTGCCCGGCTCTTGGAGGCTTTCGCTTGGTATGATGCAGGACTTCTGGCACACCGTCTACTTGACCCGATGACGTTGTCGGTGAAGAAATTGAAGGCTCTCTTAGAACAAAGAGGTGTCGGTTATGCTGGACTTGTAGAGAAGAAAGAACTTACTGGACTGGTGGAAGCTACAGGTGAGTTAATAATCCACTGACGTCATTCATTTATGATTAAAAAACAAAACCCAACACCGAAATAATACCCAATTCAACTCTACATTTTTATATATTTATGTTATATATGCTTCTTACCGAACCAATAAATTATGGCATTTATTTATTTAACTGAAATAAAAATATTCGTTTAAACTTCTCAAACGTCTGGACAACCACTTGGCTTATTTCATCCCCACTTTTTAATTTTTATGTTTATTTGCAAAACTAAATATTTTCAAAGTTTAATAACTGCCCACAATACATTTTTTAATTCACGATTTACATTTAACGTTAATTGTTATTTATTTAATAATTATGTACAGTGCCCACTCACGATTTTTTTCTGACGATAAGTTCTTTATGGTTTTTATTTAATTTTAATTCAACAATATAAATGTTAATTTGTCAACATTGATATATTTTCAGTCGTTTAACACTAACAGTAACACAAACTTTATGTATCTCGTAAATTAATTATATAGTAATTAATGACAGTAACAAAGATGTTTCTGTGAGAGTGAGACCAATGATAGTCAATCAAATTCAACTAGCCATCTGTTAAAAAAAAGTTACAAACAAGGTTCCTAATGTTTAAAAAAAGAAAGTTTATATAACTTCGGTTTAGATTTTTTTTAAAGTCAAGTTTTTCTCCTCTTCTTATCAAGATTTAAATTAGCTTCCAGAAGGCTGATAACAAAAGTTGTGCCCAATGTTATATAACGGCGCCAAAAAAAAAACAATGAATTATTTTTAAATAGAATCATTTATTTCAATCTGACTATAGTCTATTGTTTGTTTGTTTTTTTTTTGTTTTTTTCTGTGTTGAGTATTCCTCAAACAACTTAATAAAAACTCCGTGAACTTGTCTAGAAATTTCTTCTTAGCTCAACAAAACGGTAACGCTGTTGTCAGTGAAAAACATGTTCAGATTGATAAAGGATACGATAAACTTTATCCGGTATCAGCACTAAATTTTCTTTACTTTTATTATTTTTACTCTAGGTACTGATACGAGTTCAATTCAAATAGCGCTGAAGGTTTTTTTTTTTTTCGATCCATGCTGCTTGACCATAAAGATTGGAATGAACAACAGAAATAAGATGAAAGAGAGTCTAGTTATTATTTTAAATTAGAACTCGAGATTTTTCTTTTATTGACATTACTTTTTACTAAAATCTTTGTAAAAGCCATTCCAATAAAATAAAATAGCTTTTACAAAGCTTTGAGTTTTGTTGAATTTTAAAAAAAATTAAATTCATTTAAAACAGGCTCAAATCTTAAACTCTTTTTTAAAAGTTTGTAGATCAAAAATTATAAAAGTATCCTACTTTACCCGTCTGTATTTTTATTCTGTTGCTAATAAAAAATAAAATGAAAATCAGTTGACGTAGAGATCAATAACGAAGTAGTATTTTTGGAGGGTTGCTTTTTAAAATAAACAAATCTAGTTCTTCTGTTTACTGTCTGCACAGTCTCTCTTAAAATATGTTGAAAGCTGCCAAATGATATGATGCCAACTAAAAGTTTGAGAAAGAAATTTAACCACAAGAAATATTGCTTACTTTAACAATGAAATTTCCTTTTTGAAATTTTACACCCTATCTTATGAAACTTTTAAAGGTAGTATTTTGTTTGTTTGAATTAATGACCTAATAAATTATTATTATTGCTATTATAGTTTTGTAAACACCACCCCAACTTAAAACAGATATTTACTTCCCAGCATTAAAATTTGCATTATTACATTTAAATTGAAAGTCTGGAAATTTATGTTTTCAATCAAGAACATCAACATCCATAAAGGTGTTTTTAATACAAATTGAAGAACCAATAATATGGAACAGGATGTAATTTTGTGGTAGTTTAATGCCAAAAATGATACAATTTTCAGTTTTTGAATCTTTGTTTTCATATAAACTCTGCAAAGTAATCATCCATCATATCACAATTTGCTGGTCTATGCATTGCTTTGGTTTTCGTTTTGCATCTTTGCCATATAGCATCCCATGATTTTTGGTTGGTGGAGGTTCAAAAGTATAACAATGAAATTTATGATTTATTGAGATTCACATTCTCATTTTGTTTTCCTGTTTCTTTGCAAATATGATTCCTTAACAGAGCAATGTAATTACTAAATAAGATTCTAGGTTCTGTATAGTGAGGGATGGAAAATTGTGGATTATAAAAAAAAAAAAAAAAAGACATGCTTCTGCGACAGCCAGTATTATATTTCAAGATCATACATGTCTGTCTGTCCTGAATTTTTTTTAACCTTTAAAAACAGATTTTTTTTTTTTTTTCTAGATTTTACTAGTAACCCCTTTTATACTATATATATTCTTGTAGGATTATTATATTGTAATGACATTTTTACCTCTTTGAATATCTAGTTTGGTTCATTTCCATGGAAACTGAATGCAATGTTTTTTTTTGTTTTTTTTTTGGTTTTTTAAGATTAAGCATTTTCACTATATATATTTTTTATTAATTTTACTCTATTATTGTTGCTTTCTAGATGAATCATTTGCACTGGTATTATTATTATTAAATAGTATGTATTACTATCAACAGATTATCCACTTGCCCTGCTATCAGTGCTGTTGAAGTCTGTCGTCATTGGAACTAAATTCACCCATTTACCCCACATGAAGTCTCTCAACACTCAAGAATGATTTGCAAAAAGCCCCTGACCATTCATAAGTCTATGCCTGGTTATCATATTAAATTTTGATTATTGATGAAAATTTTTAAAAGAAAATTTTAAAGCATAGCACTGCTACATGGAAACCATCATGCTGATTCAATAGCATATACCTCTCATTGGTATTATTAGATTTGGTTGTAAACAAATGCATGTGTTTAGCCAAACTAATCAGGTCTATCTGTTTAGAAATGACTGTTACATTTGAAGCCAGTTCACTTGATTTTCCCAAAAACAAAGACTAAAATTTATAGCATTTGATATTGATTCTCTCTTTACATAAAATATAAGTTTGTTTTAAGGAATCATGTTATATAACAATTCAAAAAAGCCAATTGGTCACTGTGTTATTCTTCAGACTTGTCGCCTTCAAACTATTACTTATTTTGCTCCATGCAACGTTAAATATAAAGTTTCTGACTAAATCTACAAAGGCATTTATGAATAGTATGAATGACCACCTCATCTTTATTCAACTGAAAACTGATTGGGCAGTGAATATTGCTTAAAAATGAAAATTGTTTAAAGGTAAATGTCTTTAAACTGATGTTTACTAAATGTCATTATTAGGTTGATAAAAATTTCCCAACACTATCTTACTTCTTTTTTTTTTTTTTTTTTTTTTTCTTTTTGCATGTTAAAGATAGTTCAGAAGTTTGCTCAGTTATTTAATGCATATTCATTGTTTACAATCCTTAGGGAATTTTCTGAAGCTAGGAAAACTTAATATTAATAAATATTGGTTAGTATCTAAACATCTCTCTCTTTTTGCTCAACTTTGGGAAAAGCCATTACAAATATGATGCAGCAAATGATTATAGAGCAGAGATGGGAATATAAGTTTGTGGCCTAACCAAAAAAATCAAGTCCAATTTTGGGAATTGGGTCACATCAAGAATTTTTCAGCATCCTCTTAAATAGTATCTTCACTTGTCACATTCAGACGATCACTTTTTCACTGCATGCAAAATGTCTTGTTCAGTCAGCAGCTCCTAAAAGGTTCATGTCAAAAATTCCTTGAGGAATTGATTGAATCTAAATTAGCATCGTACTTTTATACCAGAAAACAATTTATATAAAAAGTAGCACAAAAACAGAAAACCAGGGAAAATACTTTGATCACACAACAATAATTCTCTTCTCTGTAATGATCAATTTATATATACATATATCAAAATTTATAAATTTTATTATATAAAAATTTACAAATTTTTTATATAAAATTTATTCAAAAGAAAATGTTCATTTTGACAACGCAAAGCATGCAGTCAATGATTGTTCAGTAGTTAGCTGTTCTTTGTGCATAATTAAATCCTTTATCACATTGGATAACAGATGAGAAAAGTAAATGCAAAACAGAATTCTTTTTTACTTTCAACAGCTTTATTCAGAAAATTTGCATCATCAGCTTTGACAGTATTGTAAGAATGTTAGAAATACAAATTGGATTGTTTTGCTTTTTTTGTTAAAGAATCCTTAATAAGACTTATAGACTTTGCTGATTTGTAATGATTTTTTTTTTCTTTTAGGTGTTGTCACTGATGATGAAGTGTCGGATGTTGGAGAAGGAGAAGAGTCATTGCCTGATGTAACTAATTTTATATCTGGTTATGATTTTTATGAACAAGTCGAAGATACTAAAGACAGTGTGTGGCTTGTGCAAGTCATCACAAGTGCTAACAATGCCTCCTTCATCAGCAATGCAAGCTGGAAGTCTGTTCGAAAGAAAGTAGCAAAATTTGGAGTCCGAGCTGGAGTCATGGATTGTTCTTTGGATTGGAAGTAAGATTATGTTTGCTTTGTACTTATGATACTTGTAATTGTACTTGTTACATACAAGTTTCTTTTTTGCTCATTTTCATTTAACTAGATTGAACTATTTTGAAGTTTTATTAATAGTGGAAAGGGAAGCATTACATTTTAGTACATACAACCAAGTTAAAGTGTTCTTATCCAACATGTTTGATTCAAAATAAAAGTTTAAAATTTTCTGCTCATTCTTAGTTATTTGTTGTCCAAATTGTTTTCAATTAATACTATTAAAATTTTAATCTACTAAAGTATAAAGTATACTGTAACTAGAATTATATGAATCCTCATCTTTAATTGCCATGTCCCTTCAGGATGTAGTCAATCGTTGCTCTCCACATCATCCTTTTCTATAATATATGTAAACTGTACCTTGCCATATTAAGATAGTGGAGTGGTTTCTTGTTGCCTTCTACACAGTGTTGACATTCTACCAAATTGCTATAACTTCCAGCAAACTGAATCACACACTACAAATCGGATAACTTTAAGGATCTATTCAAAAATACTGATCCAAGTAACATAAATTTCATTAAAGAAATTGGGCTCTAAAATATAAAAAAAAAATGTTTACTAAATTTGCTTACCTACATTGTTTTGTAACCTATTTTGGAAGGAAAAATTATTACCGTAATACATTTGACTCAACAAAAATCTCTTTTTATGAAATATGTCAAAGAAAACTGATCTGCAAAATGATTCCTTACAAAGAATACGTACTCTATTCATACGAACATATCAGAAAAATCTTGTTGGCATTAAATAACCTTTTGAGGGTTGATGTGCCATTAAACTAATCTATACAATGTTTAATTCAAAGCTATTTTCTCTTAAACACCTTGGCTTACTAGGCTACCCTGCTATTTTACCTATAACTTGGAAATTTCAAAATGTTTATAATCATGTAAATAAGAACTTCAAAAAAGAAAACTTTAAAATTGATTTTTATTTTTATTTTTTTTTTCTCTCTCTCTCTTAGATTATGCCGGAAGAAGGGCTGGTATTCTTCACAAGTCATCTTATCTCTTCCTGAAAATTTCCAAACTAAAGCCAACGTTGTGATGCATGTTTACAGTGGACCAGCCAAACCCAATATCATGTTTAAATGGGTAAAAGAAAAACTGAATCGCAAAATTCAGCGTATTGCAGACTACAGTGAACTGAAGAGAGAATGGTTATCTTTTCACAAGAAATATGAGATCAGAGTTGTCTTGTTCACAGAACTCACATCAATTCCTCTAATATTTTCTGCTCTTAGTGTAAAGTTTCCTGGTCGTGTTCGTTTTGGAACAATGAATTCCAAAACTGGTCCTGGAAAGGAAACTTTGGCTCGTCTCAATTTGAAATCTCCTGCTTATTTTGTGATAGCTCCTGGTAAAACACTAGTGTATGGGTCACGTCCAGGGGAATTGTTGACATTTCGCTCAATGGAAAGTTTTTTGAAATCCCTCTATCCTGAAGTGAATGACTTTTTTATTCTTAGTCTCATCATTACAAACTTGATGGGGTGGTTTGAATTTTTCTTATCCCAAGGAGGCTTATTACGCAGACTGGCACGTCTAATCTGGTGTATCATAAAGTACAACATTGTGATCATTATCCTGTGGCAACCATTGCTTGCACTGTTCCAATTGTCATATTTTGAGATTCTGCTTGAATGGGGCCTCTTGGCTCTACACTTCCTCAGTGGTTCATTTGTGGGTTGCATTATGCGCAAAGATCTCCTTTTTTACAGCAACAGTCGGCTGCTCTTGGCAGGAACATTTTTACTCTATTCTACACTTGTTGGCTACATTCAGTATAAACGTAAAGGTGGAATCATTGATGAAGATGAAATGGACTGGTTCAACTTCACTCAATTGCAGAGTCTCAATCCATTGCTGAATCCATCTTTCCAAATTGTTCATCCAGGAGGTCTGTATGCTATGTACCTGTTGGAAGGTAGCGATACGTACATCTTGGATAATAATGACTTCCTTGCACATTTCCCTGATCTGGTAACAGAAATGCAGACCATAGTCTCTAGTGACTATATTAAACATCTCCCTCGATGGAAATATGGAATGCTGCAAGCTCCTGCTGACTCTTCAAATGGAACTTGTTGCCATGATTCTGTGACGAAAAATAAAGTCCATGAAATGGACCATCTATTTCCCTGTGGACCACCTGATTATGATGCTCCAGACAATCCTGTAATTCAGATGATGGATGGAAACTACCGCTGTGATTGTGTGCAAAGAAACCCTTCCTCCTCATCCTTATTCTCTTGCCCCACAGGTTCAGCCTCTAGCCAACATCCCTGTCCATATGCTTCCACTTCGGAAGTTCTTTACACAGAAGCATGTTGTCAGCTCCAAAATAAACACTCATCTCCATTAAAAACTGACCAACCTGAAACTGAATTCCAAACCTCATCTATGGAGAAAGCAAATACTGACGATGATGACTGTAAAAGTGTTAAGATGATGCCTGATGGCTTCTTGGAGGCAAGCCAGTGTGTGATATGCCTTGAGAATTTTACAATTGGTGCCGAGATTTGTGGCCTTCCTTGTGCACATTGTTTTCATGAACACTGTATACTTCCATGGCTGTACAGAGTTAGTCATGCCTGTCCTATGTGTCGATGGCTTTCTTACAAACCTAAACCCTCTAACCAAATGTTATCTTCTCTTGCTCTGTCTTCATCTACTGACTAAGAAAAAAAGTGAGAAAGTATTTTTTATTTATTTATTTTTTTCTTTAAAAAAAAACAAAAAAGAAGAAAAATCTTTAATTAGGTTTAACTCTGCTTGAAGTGTCAGGTTTCGCTTTCCAGAATTTTCAAGGAATGCTGAAGTTCCTGCTGAATAGCTCCTGCAAATCTCTTACAGAACCTTCCTCCTTTATGAATAACAGATTAGAATAAATTGCATCAAAGATAACTTCTTTCTTTTTTTTTTTTTTTTACTTTACATATTTATAAATATACGGAAATATTTCTAAATCTTGGTGATTAATTCATTTCCCCCCTCCCCATTTCAAACTATAATAAACAAAATTTCTTTAGTCATGAACTTGATTTTCTAAAAACATTCTAATTTCTTTATCTAATTTGTGATAAATTTCATTAGGATCATCTTGTATGCATGTTTTGATATTTTTATGAATGAGTGAATAAATGGTCAATTTGTCGCTCACATCACCATCACCAATCTAACCTACAATGATTGTTCTACTTAACATTGGGTTGTGTTACCGTCCCAAAAATAGCTCTATAGACTTCTCATGTTATTTATGCTCTTAAATTTGGCTTTTTAAAAAAAAAAAAAAATTTCTTGCAGACAAGCAAATCTTATTTTACTTTTTTTTTTTTTTTTTTTGTAATAAGTTTCAATGTTTTATTCTATCTACCCCACTTTGTGGAGCCAATCCGCCACTGAAGAAAAAAAAAAAAACACACACACACAAACACTAAAATAGCATTTAAGTGAGGTTGAAAAATTTTGCTTGACTTATAAGAGCTAGATGTAAATATTCTTGTCTTTATCTTTTTCTACTTTGATTGATGCTTCATGAAATTGTTGCTACTGAGCAATTCACATGTTAAATCAGATTCAGAATTTTAATATTAACCATGGATTGAACAAGACCTAAGAAACAAATGCTGAAATTTTCTCTCTATCCATAACAATTACTGGTACAAGAACAATTTCAAATGTTTTGATTGAAAGTCACTCCATTCAAAAGAACTTGATAGGGATGGGCCTAGTAATCATGTTTTACTAAATAACTTTAATATAAAGAATAGTAGCTCCCTAAGCTGTCTTTAATCTACTAAGAAATACTTAATTTGAATGCATGAACAAAATTGGATACAAATTAATTTTATGATACTCAGAGTAAGAAGGGACTAGTAAAAGTGAATTTAAACACTACTTGGTTTCCATTTTATGTGGATAAGTCAAACCTATTGCATTCTGTTAGTTCCACTTCATTCTTAAACTTGTCATTCTGTTGTATACAATTTGTGTAAAACAGATCAGTACATTGATTGTATTCTTTCAATTGAATCCAATATTTAGCACAGTATCTGCTTAATTCCTGTTTTGGTGATATTACAATAGCAATTGATAATGTTATTTTTCTAGATGTATATTGTTAATAGATTTTTTAACTCAAACATTCACAAGTGTGAAAGTTGTTTCGTAATTAAACTAATTCAACCAATCACTATAATAATCTACAAGCTAGAGCTTTTTGTTTGTTTTGTTTTAACTAGCATATTTCTAGACATCTACAATATTTTTTCTTTCCTACTCAAGAAATCTTCAAATAAAAGGTTAGAGTTAATGTTCAGGGATTAAGTAGATTTTACTAGCCTCTCATTACTTACTGAATTTCCACCTATCAAAGAATTTGAATTTACAATTTATACTGCTTTACCTTAGTTTTAAGGTGCAGTTGAGATCTATTTAGCAATCAGTTCACACTTTAAAGCCTATGCTACCCCACTTCCTTAAATTAGCAAGTGCATCCATGACCAATTGAATTTTATTTTGAGAAACCAGCTTTAAAAAAAAAAAAAAGTGGAGACATTTTGGACCTGACTGGTTGTAGAGGTAATAGCTACAATTTGAAATGGCAGTTCTTCAAGGCAGGTAAACCGTTTCTATTAATAATATAAAATTATATATTAAAAAAAATAATCTTGGTATATAGATTGTTATTTTGAGGTTAATATGAGAGTAAAGTTGAAAATATATTACAATTAATGACAAGGAGGAGAAAATTATTTTGAGGCTAATATGAGAGTAAAGTTGAAAATATCTTATATTACGATTAATGACAAGGAGGAGAAAAAATACAGACAAACGTTTCCAAGATCAGTTTTATTTTGTTATGGCTGAGGAAAGGAGAAAGATAAAGTACAAATTGAATTCACTTTAATGTTGACTTATTCATCTGATATACAAGTAGATCACAATAAATAAAAAGATAAAGGCATTTGAAATATTTTATTTCTACATCAAACACCTCAGATTGACAATGAGAATCTCAAATTCTGATTGCAAAAGTTTCATTTCAGTGGTAAAATTAAATTATCCCTGAACAATGAATAAACCAAGCACATCTTTATACTTTCCAGGAATCAGAAAATTGCAAACCCCCTTGACTTTAGGCAGGGTCCAATTGGTGATTGCTATTGCAGAGGAATTTGTTTAAATTTATGGAAGTGTTATTTTCTTCAAAATCTGCTTAATTTGTTTACATTAGAAAACAAAACTTAAATTGTTATGCAAGACAAAGAATAGCTATGTTTAATTCAGTTAATGTCTCAATATAATTAAACACAGGTAAGCTTAACATTTTTGTTAAATTCAGTCAAATTTTAAAACTAACAAAACTTATTCTACATACTACAAAAATGTTACTAAAGCAGACAATATAAACTTAAGTGTTGAATGTAAGTCTTTTTTTTTTTTTTTTTAAAAAAAAAAAAAAAAATTGAAGTGACTGCATTTCAAAATATCTTATTTTAGTGGCAAAAAAAAAAAAAAAAAATCCTGATAAAGACTAAATAGAGAAATAATTATAAATCTTTCAGTAGATATTCAAAGCCACCGCTAGAGAACATTTGAACAGAACTTTTCAGCTGAGCACACATTTCTCAGAGTTTAGCATCATCAGTTCTACCAATCAGTAAGGAAATTTCCCCAGGAATGCAACAGAGACAAGGAATTCAAAGGCTGTTTTCATTGTAACTTTATTTCTACTGAAAAGCCTACCAAACCCTTTTGCTGGCTGTTCAATAAAACTTCCCCCCTTATCCCCCATCCCCCCCCAAAAAATTAAAAAATGAACAGCTCAATAGTGCTTGTTTTCTGCAAAAAGAAAAAAAAATTACAAAAAACATACTGTGGTGAGGAGTTATGAATTAATTAAAATCACTTCTTGCCATCTTTCTTATCAGTATCTTTTTTATGGTCATCAGGTTTGGTGAGAGAAGTCATAGCATTTCGAATAGCCTCACTTTGTGGATCCACACCAGGAAGATTTTCCAACACACTTTGCACAAATGCTGCATCATTCATCACTTCAGAGTAATCATCTTCTTCAGTCTGAATAAACAAATAGATAAACAAGATTGTATAAGAAATACTAACCACAGAAACAAGTCAAACCTTTCAGTAAAATATATTTCCAAAAGAAAACCAAAGAGCAAAATGTCAGCTTTAATCCATTAATGTCCACTATACCAAAAATGGAACAGCATGCATTAATGGGATAAATAGGAAATTCTATTGACATTAAAGAGAAAGTAATAGCTAAAGATTTGAATGCAATTAACTGAAATGGTCTTTTTGAGCTTGGCCCAAATAATTTTACATCTGAGGAAGTGCAGAAGTTTTTGGTCTGAACAAGGCAAGATTTAAAAACAAAAAAAAATTTTTTTTAGTCATTTAGTCATATTTTTTCCTGGGTAAAAACTTTTCAGCATCTCTATAATTTTCAATCACGAGACAATTTGTAACCAATATTAAAAGTTAAATACTAATGCAAGAATTATATAGCTTGATTTTTAACACAATTGTAGTTAGATTTTAAAGTAAAATTTGGTAACTTAATAAACTACTTAAAAATGAAAATATCAAAGTAAATCTCTTAGCAACTATTTAAATAAATCTGCTCTTGAAAAGAATTGACTAAAATCTTTGTATTTTGTAACATTGCTTGTTTCAACCTGACAGGAAATTTTTTCCATTTCAACTTATGTAGTCAATAATAGAATGAATAATCTTTATTTCTATACAAGATTCATCAATTTCATTCAAAAATTTACAGCTATTTAAATTTGCTTATTTAGAATGATGGTACAACTAATAAACTTGCATTTTAAGTGGACTGATAACATTATCTTAAATTCAAAGAAAAAAATGCCCTATTTTATTAAATGAACATAAAATATGTAAATACTAAAAATAATTTTGTCTGAAAAATTTCTATCAAACCAACTGAACTCGCTTTGTCGTAATGGAACTATCTCCCTTACGTGTGTCGGAGAGTCGTCTCCTGAGGAGCCATCAGACATATCTTGAGTTTCCCGGAATCTCTGCCTCTGTGGAAGCATCGGATTCGCAGATCTTGATTATCCGATTACTGTCAGACAATGAACCATCATCGGAGTCGCTCGGCGATGTATCAGAATCAACAAAAAGGCGAAGATCTTTTAGATGCTGTGGCATCCCGTCAAGTACTATTGTTTGTGGAATACAATGTCCATCACGCAACCCACTTGATACCTGCAGGTACACTGGCCATGGGGAGCTTTCACCCATACTCTGTTCCCAACTTTGTATATTCCGTGATACTTACAATGATCAGGTGGTAATGTTGTAGTAATTCCCTTAACTTTCAGTTGGTAATGGGGAATCATATTGGCAGGCGCATTAGTCGATGATATATCATCCTTCGGCGTGATGAACATTGCTTTCTTGCTGCAATTCTCTTTATGCTCCAATGAGATCTTTCCATTATACCGTTTCCTGCAGGAACATAGGTGCAGCGAAAACGAAGTTGGACTCCCCAGTCATCCAAGAAATCTTTAAAGGACTTACTGCGAAATGCAGTGTCATTGTCGGTTAGGATTTCTGCTGTTGGGCCTCGTTAAAAAAAAAAAAAAAAAATACTTTCTAACTGTCGGATGACGCTTCTTCAGTCTTGTTGAAGTAGGCGTCGCCATATCACAAATCGACTGGGGCTGCAATCAATTAACGTAAGGTAGTGTTGTCCACCATAATACGTAATATCCATTCCTAAGAGGGTCCAGATTCCAGTCATACTTAGGTTGCCACGTGGCCAACAACTTGAGTCTGGGTCAATTGACTGTCATTCCATAACATTTTCTAACCAATGCCCTGACAGCCGTCTTGGATGTCATAGGGTGAACTCGTCTCACAAAACACAGCATTTGCCTGATGCCAGGATGTCCACTCTGGCAATGTATGGCACGTATCTGATCAGGAGAGGTTTTGTTCACCATGGAAGCACATATCGGGCATGTTGGTTCGATTTCCTTCTTGATCACATCATACCATTGTTGCGGTACTCTGGTGAGCTCATCCACTCAGTTCTCACTCAATGTTACTAAACTTATCGTGATCAATAAGTTATACTCTTGAATCAGCTTTTCAAGAGTACTCAACCGCCTCCGGATCAGCATCTCACTTGCTGCCTTAGTTCGCATTCTGGCTTTGCCAGTGAGCATGTTTGACACCCACCGGTGCACACACGTGGAGTCCGTGAAGAGGTGTAGCTCAGTTGCGCCCCACTGTAGTGCTAACTTGATGCCCTTCAGATATCATCCAATTCTGATAAATTGATATGTTGGGTGTACTTTGCAGGCCGAAGCCAATATGCGTCTTCTACAACTCTTCCGTCAACCTCCAACAAAACCCGTGGTGAGAGAACTTGCATCGACCCATACCACATAAGTGTGTCCGCTTGTGCACCACTTACCATGTGCAGGGTCATTCTGGCGTATTCTTTCCGCTATGTCCTCAATCATGTTCTTAAGGGGAGCATCTGTCACTTCATGGTCCCAGCCAGTTGTGATCGATACTGTCCTGCGTTTAAGAAATGATGCAGCAACACGAAGCCACCCACACACAGGAATGTGACCCACCAGTTTTCCACACCACAAGAAGACGTTATATCACGTCAGGAACTGATGGAATGTCATTTTAACGTTTCCACTTAAGCAAGTTGTTATCTCGCTCGACATGCAAACACAGCACATGTGCTGTCCCGTAACCGCTCCAGACCCTTGCAGGTCAAACCAAATGTAGCCAAGTGCTCCTTCACGCGAGCTGCTGAAATCATGCTCTTGTCAACATAAATATCATCAATATATGATGAGGTTGCCCGTCGAACTGACTCGTCTTTCGACAACGTGGCATCCACAATGGCCTTCATTATGGCTGGTGCAACATTCAACCCGAAACCCATTCGGGTCAAGCAATATCTTCGACCCTTGAAGATTACAGTTTGAAAGGGCCAAAGTGACTTTTGGACATGTACTTGTAAATAGACCTGCCATAGGTCAAGGATAGCAACATCCTTTTTTACGCCACTCCCTCAGTTTCTGTGCGCACACGTCAGTATTGGCTGCGTGTGCGTCAAGACACTCATTCAGCTCTTGATGATCTAATACTGGCCGCACTTTATTTTTGTTTTTCTGCACCACCGCCATCCACGGAATTAAACCTTTTGAAGGACCAAGTTCCTTTTCAGGATAAAGCTGCAACCAACCTTTATCCAGCCAGGTCTGCAGCTCACGGTCATATTCCTCCTTGACTCCCTTTGGTATTGTATACCATCAGACTACTTCCATGATGCAACCCATATCTTCCGGTTTGGGTCAAATTCAGCACAGAAATCGGGTTCTTCTATTTTAATAATGGCGCAACAGACTATTTCACACTTGGGAAACCGTACATCACCACACTGTCATTTGGAGTCTGCCCAACTTTTTAATGCCGTCAAACCCCAATAGCTCTCCATCCACTACCAAGACTTCGATTTTGAGGGGGTTTGCATTATCCACGTCAAGCTTGATACTTCCAACTCCACAACATTTGAGAGTATTTTCCGTCTCCTGCCAGGATTGACAGACCGACTTACTCACGAGTGTCGGTGAGCAGCCAGTGCCACTCTCTTAATTCCGTTCACGTAAATACCCAAGACAGGTAGTGTCTCATTCATAACTCGCTTAGGGAAGAGACCGGCGCTGACGTCTTGTCCCCTTCCTCTTTTCCCAGACACGATGAAGCAATGTGGACTACTTCTTGACACCAGAAGCAACGCATTGTTGCACGTGACCTGCGTGGCTGGCAGGTATCTTCTCGTTGAACCGGGCAGTCCCTGGAAATGCTCCACCCAGAGCATCGATAGCATTGCATACCCTCCCGACGTTTAACATTTGGATGTTTATCAGCTCCGCCTAGTGAAATGGTAGCCGCAACTATTTCCTCAGATGCATTTTGATCTTTCATTATGGCCCAAGCTCGGTCCAACAGTTGGTTTATATTCATGTCTTCTATCCTGGAAGACGCACGCAGTAGTTGCTTGACGTGCTCTGGTAACCCTGCTATGAATATACATGCTAGTCCTTGCTCAGATATCCCGCCAAAAAGACCTGCTAGCTTTTTCAAGTTGGCTAGAAACACATCGACGGATTTGTCCGGGCACAGTTGGCATTCCGCGAATTGCTCGTAAGCCAAGAAATGATCTGGCACAAAGGCAATACGCAGGGCTTGTCTTATCTGCTCAACATCTGATTTTTGATCTGAGTTTAACTGTTGGTAAACAGCAAATGCTCCACCCGTCAACCTCAAAGGAAGAACACATTCAACCTTTTTAATTCCACACAGGTCACAAACAAGTTCTGCCTTCTCAATCCATTTAGTAACTGCTTGTCCGGTCACTGAACCATCAAACTCAGGTATCAACTTGACGTCAAATGTTTTGTCTGTCATAGCACTGAAATAGCTTGTAAGAGTTCTGAAAGCAAAGAAAATATTTGTTGCAGATTACTTCCACAACACAAAGAACAAATCACTGTAAGTTCAGACTTGAATATCGGGGGCAGAAAGAAATTCGCAGGTACTATCTCACAAATCACAATGCATGTAACCAGTCAGAAATATAACTCACTCTCCGAACGCAGTAGCCAAAATACACCAACTTCTGATTTTGAGAACACCGACTGCGTTCATCGGCCGAGCATTTTTTCCATTCGTCGACGGCTGAGAGAGGACACCCAATTTTTGCATATCAAAATACTTGTATAGAGATTCCTGTGATGGACTTGTTTTTTAATTTAAATATTTTGTCTTCAGCATGTCATGCAGAATACATGCCCTTTTTTTTGGTAAGTGATTTTCTTTTTTGCCACATTTTCCGTCGTAAGATACATGCAACATGCTGTCGCTTGGTTTGACAAGGTAAGTCGCCGTTTTCTTTGCCTTAAACGGTTCAATGACAACAGGTGTCAAGAACTTTTGCACAATTAATAGACAACTTCATTTATGCATTTGGCCTCTTTCTTTCAAAAGCCAAAAATTTTGATTCTAAAGCCAATAGAAATTCCAAAAATGTCATAGCTAAGCTCATAAAAAGAGAGAAAAATTACTTCTGTACATTATTTTATTATTAACCTTGGAATATAGTGCATCTCATTATGATCCACTTTTAACATTTTGAAGTTTTTAGAAAACTAATGAAAGGATTCAAAGAAATATTTTCATTAGATCTGCAGAATATTTTACATCAATAAATTTAAAAAAAAAAAAAATTATATCAACATTTGTACAAAATTACTCAAGGTTCTGAAATTAGTTTGAAAAGTTGTTTATCTATTGATTTTGTGAGCTGCTGTATTCTATATGAAACATACTGCATATGGTCCAGAATAGCATTTATTTTTTTTTTTTTTTTTTTTTTATCTAGTTATGGTCATAATCTTGTTTGATGGCCACTTCATTATACAAATGTCTTAGAAACCCATTTTTTTTTCTCAGATGTTCATTAATTTTCTTCACAGAATGTGACTGGGCAGAGTCATCCATAAACAATCTTTAATATATTTAGTTTCTTCTTCTTCTTCTTAAAAAAAAAAAATTCCAATGGATGCCTGAGCTGTCATCTTCACAACATTTGGAACTTGCAATGGCCCCACCACTTCACCACCTATAACACCCTATCTCAATGACATCACTTCTGCATTGCTGATATCACAACCCATGAGAGTAGTTTCCAAAGGTAACCACTAAACCTTCACTCCATCCATCTGGCCCATTGGAGAGAGTGGGAAGAAAACAGTCTTTCATGTATTCTGTTTGCCAATTTCATTCAATTTTCTTTATGAACACTTTTAAAAGGAGGCCCATTGATCAATCTCACATGTTTTACTTTATTTGGGACCCAACATTTTGTGCTTTTTGGTATTTCCTTACTGATTGTTGCAATGTATACAAATTTAATAGCTTCATAAAGAGAATCTTTTCTTTTTTTTATAACACTGCTCTTTATAGAACACATTAACATGGCTTTATTATACTTGTACTGCAGTCATACTAGATCTTCAATGATTTTCACTGTTCAGTGATACCTGTTGATCATTTCTACATTTTCTAGCATGTTTTACCATTTACAAGTCTGAAATTAAATATTTCTTTTTATCCATCAAATCAGCCTTATGACTATTTTAATGATTCAAATTCACAATGTTGGGACTATTAATTTGAGACTTTAAAATTAAGATTTTATACAAATGGCTACTATTGGTTCACATCTATACAGAAACGTTTTCATCTTAACTGCACAGATCTCACCTTCATTAAGCAAATAGACCTTTAGATTTCAATATTTACTTTAGATATATCGATAACAGATGAAGTGGTTAATAAGATGAGATGCACTGCATAAGTAAAAATTCCTGTATTTAATATGGTCATTTTATTCAGATATAAACAAATATTTAATAAATTTGACAAGGCTTAGAAAAAAAAAAAATCTTCATAAAAATTTGCAAAATCTAAAATGAGTGACAAGCATGTGAGTGAGGAAAATATTGAGATAGAAAACATTTTAAAATGCACAGATTATAATTAAACATTAATGTTAGAATATTTTAGATGAGAAATTATTATCTGCCTTGCTATTCAGACAAATGTTCTTATTTCGGTTGCTGAGTATAACAGACGATGAGAATATTAATCCAAATGGAATGGAAAATAAAAAACAATTTACCTTGCAGAAACTATTTTGTAGGACATCAAACAGAACTTAAAAATGTATTAAGATACATTACATTTTTATTAGCAAGGAGTTACTGGAAAATTGATCTACAATCACCAACTTGTAGACTCATTTTGTATTGCAAATCCAACAAATGGTTCATAATCATAAACATATTTATGCTAGGAATGTTATACAAAAAAAAAAAAAAAAATTAATATTAGAAATGAAATGTCACCTTCTTTTCAGATTCTGTTTCCATTGGTGATGGAGCATCAGCCTCAACCATTCCTACAAAAAAACAAGAAAATTCAAGTTCAAACCACAAAAGTTGTCAAATAATAAAAAATGTTTACAAAAGTTGGATTTATTACTTTGTGCATGTGTCTCTAATGTTTCAAGAGAAGGTTAGTGACAGTCATTTTTATGGTGCACAGTGGCAATGACATATAGAATAAGAGAAAGGAGATAAAGAGAACATGGGTGAACATTTGGGTAACAGAAAAGCTCAAATAAAAGAGAAAGAGGCAGCATCCCTGATAAATTATCACAAAGAGGGTTCCAAAGTAGCTTGAAATCCACACATATGGAAAGTCACATTATGGTGATCACACAAGGATCAATCTTTTCTATCTTGACAAGCTTTTTTTTCACAGTACATATTCAGGTTTTAAAATAAGCAGTTCCAGGTAGACATAGTGTCTAATAATAGTGACGTTTGAATGCTTGTCACTCATTTTAGAATTTGCAAATTTTTATGAAGATTTTTTTTATTTCTGATAAGAGATAAAGACTTGATCCATACTAACAACTGACAAGTACCACTAACACAAATCTAACATTGGTTACAGGCATTGCTAGTGTCATAACTCAACTCCACAAGTAACACATCAATTTGCTGTGAAATTTTTATAAACATAAAATTACAGAAATGTCAAATAGTCTCACAATGAAGTAGCTACTTAACAACTTAAATATATTTGGTAGTACATTCAGTATATTGAATGTGATAGATTAAAAATAAAGTTTTTATATTCCTGAATGCTATAGACTTACACATGAATATTCTAATTAGAACTTAAAATGTATAAATTCATTAGGTCGCACAAGCAACATTAATTAGCTTATTAATATATCAACTCTGTAAGACAACAAAATGGTTAATGGAACTTCCTATATTTCATTCCAAGCAAGGGAATAAAGATACAAAGGAAAAAAAAAAAAAAAAAAAAGTATTAAGGAGAGAGAACAATAAAAGAACAGGAAACAGAAGATAACAATTGACAGTGCATTTCAATTTTTTTAAAAAGTCAGAGTTGACTGGGAAGCTGGAAAATAGTTCCACAAACAAGAAGTGTGAGAGAAGAAACTGTTAGCATAGAACTCAGAGTTACATCTAGCCATTTCAACTGTAAAATGACGAGATCTTGCCGCTAATCTAGTACTGTACTTAAATTCATAAAGTCTAAGTACCATAGAGAAAAGTTCATCAGAACAATTACCATGAAATATTTATAGAAAAGACACAGGGAAGATACATTACAGCAGTGAGAAAGTAACTGAATCCAAGATGCCAGGTCAGGACCAATAATATTGCAGGTTCTTTGGATTTCATTAAGAATCTCTAAATATATAGGAGGAACACTAGACCAGATGTGGTAGCAATATTCAACACAAGGATGAATGGTAGACTTATAAATATGTAAGATAGATTCTGACAAAAAAAATTGTCTAGCATGACACAGTGAACCAACTTTCCTTGCAGCAGAACTAGCAACTGATTTAACAATCTTACCACTTCATGTCAGCAGATAATGTTAGTCCAAGAAGGTGCAATAAGTCATTTTCCTGTAGGTTAACATCAGTCATGCTAATGGAAGGTAAAAAGAGTTCTCGCAGATAATTAAAAGAGAGAAGTTTCATTTTGGAGATGTTAAAATTAACAAGTCATTCCTTGCCTCAGTTAACAAACAGATTGTAGGCCATTTTTTTTAGATCAACTAACAATTTAATCTTATTGAACTGATTAATTGCTATTAAGACAAGACTAAACAGTTGTGTCATCAGCATAGATACCGATTTGATAATTGATGGCATCAGGAAGGTCACTGATGAAAATTATGAACAATGGTGGTCCAAGGATAGAGCCCTGGAGGATACCTGCATTAATGCAAAAAGATTAGAAGAGTGGCCAGTCAAGAAAACTTTCATTTTTATGATTTGATAAGAAATACTGAATTAGTTCAAAAATTTGTCCAGAAATACTATATCCTTTCAACTTGTGAAGAAGACCAGTATACTAAACCCTTCAATGTGAAATGCCTTTGAGATATCCAAAGCAACAGCCCAAGCTTCACCATTCTTATCTAAAGCTTGATAGACTCTTTCAACAATAATGATTAATACACCAACAGTTGACCTAGAGAAGTGAAAGTCATATTGCTTATCTGAAAGAAGGCCCAGTGCCGTGAGGTGCATAACTAATTCAGAGTTGATTAAAGCCTCTAGTACTTTGCCAAAAAGAGGTAGAGGTTAATAGGCTGATAGAAGGATCAGACATTTTGCCCTAGTTTTAAGAACTCTATGGAACTACAGATGATTTCCAACAAACAGGAAAGCAAGCAGCAGCAAGGCATTTAGCGTAGAATTTAGAAAGAAGTTCAGGAGCACATTTCTTAAGGTCTATTGCAAGGATGCCATCAAGTTCACATGCTTTGTGAGCATCTAGTTTAGAGATAATAGCAAAAACCATGGATGGAGTTATATGTATATCACTCAATAAAGACTCAATTCTAAGTGAAAAGTCAGGCAAAGGTACTCCAGATAAGTCAAGAGTGGAATTTGAAGAGAATTTACAAGTAAAACATTCTGCTTTATTAGCAGATGTTAACATCTCTTAGCATCTGAAGAGAGGAGGAATAGAAGATTTATTTGACATACTATTACAGAACTGCCAGTAGGCACAAGAAGTAAACTTCTTGGAGGCTATACGGTGCTTCATTCTATCAGTAAACAAAGACTTAGCCTCTTTGAAGACGTTTACAATTACAAGCAGACACAAGTCGGTATCTGTTGTGATTGGAATTATCACACTGATACACCTGAAAAAAGTGATTCCTGTGAGCTTTAGCAGCTGAATAGGCTAGTGAGACAAGATTGTGGCATCACCTGGTATTTGAAAGAAGGTACAATAAGCATCAACACCAGCTTTAACCTTTGTGGCACATTTCTCAATATGAAGTTTAAAAATATAAATCCAAGGGGCGTCTTTAATAAAGCCACAAAATGAATCCCAATCAGTACATTGATAACTGGAAGAAGTTTTGTGATTCATAGGTTCCTTTCTAATAGACAACTCAAAAGAAACATCAACAGATACTACAGCATGATCTGAAATGCCAACAGGACAGAGTTGTGATGCTCAACAAGAGCTAGGAAAGGAGGTAAGGAACAAATCAAGTAAAGAAGAATGTTAATTTATTCAGGAAATCTATTTGACTGACAGAGTGAGCAATGGAAAAATTGGAAGTCTGAATACTGGCAACATCAGTAACATGAGAATGTTTAAGCCACTTGACATGATGAGCATTAACATTACTAAACACAAAGATTATTGCATATTAATCTAGAGAGAGCCATTTGTATATTGTCCTTAATTTTGTTTAACATATTCGTCCTGAGAAGAAGGAGAGCAATAAAGAGATAGGGTGCAATAACGAAAGTCAAGAGCACATGAAAGAATCCTCTGGAATCTCAAGAGACAATTCCTTAGCAACTGGGAGATTTTCCCAAATATAAACATAAGGCCATGTATATATATATATATATATATCCTAGAATCTTTTCAACAAAGAGGAAGATAGCCCAGAACAGAGAATTCATTGGTAGCAATAGAAGAATTTAAAACTTTCTACAAATGTCTTTCTCTCTAACTGTATTCATAGGAAAATGTTAAAAGATTTTCTGATGACTTATGTTTTTGATCGTGACTATTTAAACAAAGAAAATGCAAAGGATTTATACCTGGCTGCAATGACATCTGCATTGCATAGGCAACTTGTTCTTCTTCAGTCATTGCTGCAATATCAGGTACATTAGCAGGAGAATCAATGACCATATCACTGACACTTTGTGCTGAAACTGTAGATCCAGCAAAACCTGAAGCACCTCCAACCATATTTTCACTGCCCATCACTGATTGCTTAATAGCATGCTCCAGTAATGCTTCTTCTGTGGTCGCTATGTAAAGAGAAAACAATAAGATACAATATTAAAAAGATATGTTTCAAAATATGAGAGGGAAAAAATACTATTAGCTTGTAAAAATGTTACCAATTATTACAATATCAAAAACTTTAAATCCATGAAAACTAAATTACATTTTTAGAAAAAATATAAAATGTTGAATGTACATTTAGGAATAATTATATTTTTATTGTAAATTATTTACAATATAATACTACTTTAAAATTAAAAAGAAACATAAAAAAACCCAAGTAAAACATGTATGAATATCTGCTGTAATCAAAATTGAGATTTTTCATATGGTTGCATTTTGAATCTATAAATTAAATTTATGAATGAGTACAGAAAAGATGAACACATTTCAGTACCCATTCATAAATCACCAAGAAGGAATTTCAAAAAACATCTGTTTGGTCATTTGGTCAAATTTTGGGAAGTTGGGTTGTTTGATGGGTTTTACAGCATGTCAATTGCAAATGAGTCATTTTATGCCAGATCCATTTATTTAATTTTTATTATTTATTTATTTAATTATTATCAAAGTTGAGTTGTACTTCAATGTATTGTATTTCAAAATAGTGTTGTATTTAAACAGATTGTAAAGATAATCTGATTTTTATTTTCTTTGAATTTTATAAGTCCTACCACTTTCAAGAAGTCCATGAGGTTTCTGATTTTTACTTTTTCAAACAGTTCCGTCAGGTTCCTTGCCTTGAAGTATTTTTCCTGATATGAGCCATGCTTCTACATTCTTCCAGGATATGTTTTACTGCCTGGATAGATCTGCATGTACACTTTAGTTGTTCTTCACGGTTAAGTATGCCGGCATGTGTTAGTCACGTGTATCCAATGTACAGTTGACTCGGAACTTCCTCCTCTCTCTGGTTTATTTTATTGTTTATTGTCCATTTTCCTAAAATGGATTTTATTTCAAATAGTTTTTCTTTATGTATTTCCCTTAATTGCTGCCATTTCTTTTTTTATATATTTGTTTATTTTGGATTTTATGTCTGTATAGGATATTTTGAATTTCTTATTGATGGTCATTTTTAAGGATGACTTAGCTGCTGAGTCAGCTCTGTTGCCTCCTTTAATTCCAATATGACCGGGTATCAAGCAGAATATTATGGGTTTTTTGTTTTTTCCAAGGTGTTGACCGATTTAACAGTTTTATGACCAATGGATTTTCTCATTTTTTTTCTCTTTTAGGGAAACTAAAACCAATAAGGAATCCAAGAATATGATAAATCTTTGGTGGTCGCTCTTGGATATGATATTTAGTGTCATGTCTATGGCACCAGCCACCACATTGAAAATAGATGCCTTGTAAGGTAATCGTTTTTTGATAAAAGTTTTGTCAAATACTGCTGCACTACCTGTTCTTTCTGTATTTTTAGAGCCATCAGTAAAAATACTTAAGTGATTTGGGAGTTTTTCTCTAATCCTGGAGAATTTCTCGAGATAGGTAATGGGATGAGTTTTTGCTTTGGGAAGTTCACTTATAGGTCCATTATTATATTTGGTTTTTTAATAGCCCATGGATGAATCTCTGTTTTGTTTCATGTCTTTTTTCCAAGGGGATCTTTGATTCCTCAATGATTTGATCCATTTGAAGTCCAAAGGACTTTATTTTATTTTTGTCCTGTTTAAATAGTTGTTTGGATTTTGGATCCATTGTACAGTCATATGCGGGGTTGATATGACAAGATTTCAGTTTGAGATAATATTGAGTGGTTAGCTTATCTCTCCTCAGTTTCAGTGGTGCTTCATTAGCCTCCATATACAGGTTCTCCACTGGAGAAATAGGGAAGGTCCCAAGTGCAAGTCTTAGTCCTTCATGGTGTATTGCATCCAGTGTTCTCAAATATGATTGCCTGGCTGATCCATAGACCATGCAGCCATAATCCAACTTAGAATGTACTAATGTTCTGTAGAGTTTCAGTAATGTTTGTTGACTAGCTCCCCATTCCATATAGGCCACCACACACAGAAGCTGTAGGGCCTTGTTACATTTTATTTTTAGGTTTTTGATGTGGGGCACAAAAGATAGCTTTTTTTCATAAGTTACTCCTAGGAACTTGTATTCCTCAATGACTGGTATCTCTGTATCTTCTAGTTTTAGCACTGGGTCATTGTGTAGCTTATGTTGTTGGCAAAAGTGGACATATTTTGTTTTTAAGATTTTAAAACCATTTGATATTGTCCATTTGTCTATTTTGTTTATGCATTGTTGCAATGGTCTCTTCATAGAGTGCATATATTTTGAGCAGTAATATATAAAATCATTTACAAATAGTGAGTGGTCAACCCCAGGATTGAGGCAATTTGTTATGTCATTTATTTTTATGCTGAACAACATTACTGACAAGATACTTCCCTGTGACATACCTTCTTCTTTGGATAAGGTGGATCCTATGCAAAGTTCTTTCTGCTAAGAAATTTTTAATAAAGACTGACAATCTTCCTTTCAGATCAAGTTTGTGAATATCCCTCATAATTCTGTGCTTCCAGGTAGTGTCATATGCCTTCTCTAGGCCAAAGAAGACAGTGGTTAGATGTTCTTTTTTAATGTTAGCTTCTTTTATAAAGGTTTCCAATCTTATCAGCTGATCTACTGTACTCATTTTTTTTCTGAAGCCACATTGGAATTGCTATCTTATTTTTTCCAGGAACCAGGTCAATCTCCTATTAATCATTCATTCCATTGTTTTGCAAAGGCAACTGGTTAGCGATATCAGTCTATATTTTTGTGGGTCTGCATGATCTTTTCCCAGTTTTATCATCGGGATAATTGTTGTTTGCTTCTAAGTTTTTGGAAATTCTTCATTTATCCACATTTTATTGAATATATGTAATAGGTTGTATAGGGATTCTTGTGGGAGGTGCTTGATGAATTTGTAGTGCATCCCATCAGGGCCCTCAGCTGTGTTATGGGATATTTCAATGGACTCCTGATTTCTGTCATAGTAAGAGGTTTGTTGTAATGTTCAAGGTTATTTGATGAGAAGTTGAGTTTAAGCTCTTCCCTCCTCCTGTTTGATATTTTAGAATCTCTGCTTTCCATGTGCTTTGGAGTTTTCTGAGTAGGTTTCAACTAGTAGATTGGCTATTTCTACCTTGCTAGTTATTTTATCATTGCCTATCTCTAAATGCTTTATATTTTTTTGTCCTGATATTTTTCTTACCATTTCCTTTATTTTTTTTTTGTTTGTGAGTAAGACTTGGTTGTTTACATATTTTTTCCAACACTCTCTTTGCTTCTTTGGGTCACATAAGGTCAGGTCCATAGCAGAAAGATTGCCAGAGGTTGAGTTTAAGTATGTTGCAGATCCAGTATTAAACAAACAGATTGTTGCTGTTTATTGTTTATTCAAGAATTCTATTTTTTCAATCTATTTGTTTGCTTCCCCATATGGCATTATGGCTGTTTAAATCTCCACTGTAGTATTAAGGGTTTGGGTAGTTGTAAAATAAGTTTGTTTAGCTCATTTTTATTGATGGGATTATTCACTGGAATACAAAGGAAATATATGTTGATTTCTCTGTGTACTGTTGCTTTAACAGCATTTGCCTGTAGTTTGATGTCAAGCTGAATTTTGCTCTGAGGTATATTATTTCTCACCAGAATTGATATACATCCAGAGGCCCTAAATTCAGTATTGTGTATATGGTTATATTTTTCTTAATTTTAGTTTATTATCCTTAAGGAAGGTTTCTTGTAAGCATACAATGTCTGGGTTTAGGTTAGTCTGCAATAGTAAAAGCTCATTAAAGTTTGGCTTTATTTCACGGATATTGGATTATTTTGCTCTTCATTATACGTTTTGGGTGTTATCTCTTTTCTTTGATTTGTTTCTTGTGGTGTTTTAGTTGCCTTCCATTTCCACTTCTTCAAGTAATATGAATTTGTCTTTAGTTTCTATAAGGACATTTTGTTAAGAGGATTCTTTTGGTTGTGATGTCTTGTGCAAATTTACTGCCATGTTGCCCTGGGATTCTTCCTTAAGAACAACTATGTTTTTTGGTTATCAATTTCCATATATTCTATACTTTCTATAGTGTTCATTTTCCTTGTTTGTGAACTTGTTTTTCACCAAGTATTTGCATGTACTTGATCATTTAGGTTCTTTTCATTTTTTTTTCTGATTATCTTTATGTGGGGGTGTCCTGTTTATTTGCTTTTAATTCCGTTTTTTTGATTTCCATTTTGTTATGTATTGAGGTTTGATTGATTTTTTGTTGTCAGTTTTCTGTTTGGGTAATTTTCCATTTGAGAAGTTTAGAGTGTTTTGTAGTTTAGAAGTAGTTGCTAGTGAATTTTGTGTTGGATTTACATTGTTTGTGGTTAGTTTTGGTTTAGTGGTTGGAGTCGTTTCTGAGTTTACAATTGGTTTTAATGTTTTCAATGTTTTTTAATTTTTGAATTAAGAATGTTAGTTCTTGTTTCTCATTTAATTTGTTTGATATTAGATTTTCATGAGTATAGCTTGATGTCGCTTGGGTAATGTTTGTATATGATGGTGTATTGAAGTTTGTTTTGACACTTTTACTTCCTTCTGAGAAAGGTATTTTTTGGTATGTTTAATTTTTAAAATGTCTTTTTTGTTTTTCCAGGTTTTGCAATCCCTGGAAGTTACCCTATGTTTTTGTTCACAATTACGGCATGTGATCTTGTACATTGATTCTTTCTATATCTTTGGCAATTGAAACATTGCAATGGTTTTGGAATATGTGTTTCTACTTTTGAAACTGTATAACCAATTTTTATTTCACGTGGTGGTTCTGGTGCATCAAAAGTAATGATATATGTATTGGTGTCTATAATTCTATAATTTTTTTAATAGATACTCTTTATATCTACAATGTTGTTTTTTGATAGTTATTGTTTTTAATTTCCTCCAGTGTACACAGTGAGAGTTCGGTGCTTTTCATTATACCTTTGGAAGAATTGGAAGAATTTAAAAATTTGTGTGGGTAGACCTTTACATCATAGAATTTCATCATCCTTAGTAAAGTTTCAGCGTCATGTTTTTTTTTTTTTACTTCTATCTGTAGCGTATTATTTCTATTTTTTTTTTTTTTTTTCAAACTGGTTTGGAGTTATCAAAGATGCTAAGATTTTTTTCTATTACAAAAGGTGACAACTTTGTAATAGGTTTGTCTTCTGTTTGTTCTATTTATCTATGAATTTAAAAATTTTTTTACTTCGATAGATTTTCTGTGTCTGTATCAAGGTTGTAGTCTCTTGGGATTTTTGTGCTCATATTTTGTTAATTATTATTATTATTATTCATCAGCCACGCTCCCCACCCACCTTGGAGCTCCATGTGGGGGAGATGATGAGAGGGGGAAATCCTATTCACCTCATTCCTCCAGGGATACATGACTGGTATACTCAAATGTGAGGAGGGTTCCAAGCACCTGTTATATCCGGGATCATCCACCCAAGTATGGATTTCCTCAAAAGTTGAAACTGCCATGTCAGATTCCTTTGTTCCCAGTCTGATTGATCCTACAGCCACTGCTTACTAAATCAGTTTAATGTTTGATATGGTAAATGCGAGCACGTTTCGTTTGTTTTGTTAGTCATGACTTAGGGCTTGAGATGACCAGCCAATTGATTGGATCAGGCCTCTCCAACTACACATCTGGCTCAAGTAAGGGCCAAAGTGGTGTGTTAGAGTTTAGAAATATATGTATAGCCCAACTCCCAAAACCCTCAACCATCAGGATCCTGTCCTCAAGCATCATGGGTTGCCACCCATGGTAAACAGGTGGGTCCCTTGCAGAGATGTAGTCAGCGTATTATGAATCCCTGCAGACAGCGCGGTCGGGAAATTGTTTGAGCCAAGAACTCTTTAGTTACCCTTGTGCAACTTGGCAATAATGGTGAGGCAAAAAGACTAATTTTATCTCAGCAATGATTCTCCAAATAACTCACCTGTCGTCTCAGCAGATGGCATCTCAGCATCTTGGGTTGGTGCATTTGCAGCTTTTCTTGCTTCATCTTCTTGTCGAGCTCTTTCTTCTTCCATTGAAACTCTCAAAGCCTGAAAAAAAACATGAATTTTTTTTTTGACTACTTTAATTACACTGTCAGATTTTATGATGCAAATCAAATACTTCACAATGAAATTGCTATGAAGCAATTGATTTTCAGGATATATTTTATATGAGTAATACATAATTTGAGTTTCAGCTTTTAACTATACTTAAAAAAATATTGAAAACTTGTTTTGGAGGTGTCAGATTTTACTCAATAATTTTAAATTTTCTACTGTATAAATAGGATTGATTCCACAGAGTCTCAATCCTGATGTCACTACACCATATATCAATGAATGGGTAGCTGTGGGATGATTTTTTTTATTAATGTAGCAATTATTTCTGTCTTTGACATTCCTGGTCATTCCTTCATTGTCACACCCATTTAAGATCATAGCATCTAGTGGAGTCCTATATCTAATAAGACTGAAAGCATGTCATTAAACCATGATTTTCTATTTGCTACTTCACTGGAAATCAAGTGGTGCAAAATCACTTGTCAGAAATAATGACTAACACCAGAATATGATTAAAGTAATTTTACTTCTTGGTGAACAGACAGAACTAATAAAAAGAACATTAAGACTTTAGGTGATTTTGGGCAGCCTTTTTGTGTGAGATTTTTAAAAATCTTTGCGTGTGTGTTCTTTGTCTATATTTACAGGTGACAATAAACATTAAAATGGAGTTATTACAATCCTTGAATCTCAATATTACTTAAAGCATTTCACATCTTAATTCTAAAAATCTGTTTGCTACCACCGATGGCTTGTTTCCACTTGTATTACAATTTTGACTGCAACTCTTGGTGCTTTTAGATCATAACTTTCTCTGTGACTGCTACAAATAAGTGGACTCATTTTCTCAGTTCAGTCTTTAGTTCACTGGCTCTCCCTTCCACTGATATGGATGGAGGGAACTCCATTTCATGTTCTGCTCTTTGTATCACCAATATGGATGATCAGAACCTTTTTTTTCTCTACTGCTGTTGCCAACAACTGCTAGTTTAAAGAATCAAGCATCACTTAACATCACAGGTGTGATACAAAATTTCTATTGTTATGAGTCCTAATTTCTGCTTTCTTGAACAGGTATTGTATTCTTAAGATAAAAAGATAAAAAAAAAAAAAAAAGGTGAAAACCATTAACACAATCTAGCTTGGAGAGGAGTAATGACACTATTCTCTACTTTTACTTTTTTCCAATCATATTTGCATTAATACATCCCAATTTCATAATATATTTATTAGCACACCATGGGAGGTGGAATGAAAAATGAATACATTTCCTGTTAAATGATGCGGATAAATGTATTGAATTTCCAAGTTTTGGCAGACACATTCCAATCTGATGGGGGTTACCCAAAAGTTTACTGTTATCAATAGTTTCAGGTCATTCTGGCACTCTCTTTAATCTTCATTTTATGGTACTAATTGATATTTTTTAACTGTTCGACCATTGTTCTATGCTTTAATTAGCATTTTTCTTAATCTGTTAGTTCAACCCTTTAACTGCCAGAAAGTTTGCAACTTTCATGCACCAATAAAAAAAACTTCAACCTTTTTACAACTGTTTCAACTTTAACATTACAGGAAGCAGTTTTTATTGTCTCCAGGCTCTTATTCACCTGAATAATGTTTCCTATTATCATATACAATTCTTTTAATGATAGACCACATTAATATCTTGAGATGCTGTGGGCCATTCCCTTAATTTGGTGTCTTCAGAAAGGTGAACAATAGTCAGCATTGAAGAATTTGAAGGAACATCATTTTGCATAAAAGTACTCTTTAGCTTAAAGTTTTTTGGTTGTGACTTATACCACTTAAAATTTTTTTTCTACTTAGAATAAGCCTTTGTATTCATCTTGATAACATAATCAACTCTGAAGAGACCTGCCTAAAATACTAGTCCAAAGCATTACTCTATCTCCCTGCCATTGTTTAATTAGTTTATTATTTCCAGAAAGGTCCTCTAGGCCAGCCATCAGATCTACCCAATATTGATCTATATTCATGACTAGATAAGCAAACATAAAACATTAAGTTAAACAAAGTCCTACTAAAACTGACTCAAATAGAGGCAAAGATATACCAAAGCCAACTCTGGATCTTCATTTGGATCAACTCCAAACTCATATCCAACAGCATTCAATCCTGGTGCTGATCCATCTTCTCCTACAACAACAGGAGAAGACGACAAAGCTTCAGATAATACAGGTCCGGGCGGAACAGTGACAAGATGAGAGCTAGAAAATAGAAAAATAACAGATTTCAAAGAGGAGAATCTTATTAAGAAAGAGTAAATAAATGTAACTTACAACTTTTTGTTTGAAGTAGGTAATCTTTCTGTTTTACTTCAACTGTATTTACTAAATAATAACTATTAAGGGTTTTTAACAAAATTTTAATCCTTTTTTTTTTTTTAATTCAAAGATGTTTATTGAAAAGATCAATATTCAGTCATAAAACTAAGATTATATACTCAAATATGTACATGCAGCTTTTTAATGATTTCAACAAATATATTAAAATTCTATTTAAATTAGGAATGTTGTTTTATAGTACCGTAAATATAACTTGAACTGTACAAAGCAGATGTTAAGCTTCTCGAGTTTTTTTTTCAAAATGAATAACTGAAATCTTAGAAGAACCAGATATTTCAGGTTCCACTAGAGGATTTCTTTACATTATTGGTCACCCAACACAAAGCTCAAGAGCCACTGAAGGTACATAGTGAACAGGGTTATTTTATGGATGTAAGAATTATCGATTATAAGGATATGTAGGATAGATAACAGTTTAACCAAGATTTAGGTTAAAATTGTAGTGGTTGGGGGAAGGATCCTCTTGGAAGCACAAAGCAGTGGCTCTTGGGAAGAAGCTGTTCAAAGAGAATGGGGATGGTTCACCCACGTACATGGCATGTATTGTATATAAGAGTTCCAACTGAGGTTTAGGGTGAATTCAAGTTTCAATAGATGCTCAAAACAAGGAGCATTTTTTAGAGATCAACCAGTCATTTCAACTGGTGAGAATTTAGGGTCTTCTCACTGATGATGAAAATGTACTAGCTTCATTTTTGGAGTATTAAAAGATACAAACTGACAAATAGTCTTCCATTGGACTATTAGAGCTAGGACAGAGGAGAGATCAGCTGCCAGTCTCTAGTCATCTAGAGTTTTGAGGTGCACCCATATACTGTGGTATCATCTGCATAGATATTTACTAATGACATGAGAATGTTCTTTGGTAAATCATTAATATAAAGCAGAAAGAGGGTAGGACCAAGTAGTGAGCCATTTGGTATGCCTGCATTAATCTCACAGGTTTCAGAAACCTGACCTAATTAATGATTGCAAGGACTCTTCTAAAGTCCATAGTTGGAGAGTTTGTGTAGAAAGCCCCTGTGCTAGCCCTTGAAAAAGGCCTTTGAGATATCTAAAGTGATCACTCTAATGATGGATTTATTATCAAATACCTCACTAATTCTCTGTTTTATGACAGAACATCAGCAGTGGACTTAAAAGAGTGAATTGGTTGCTTTTGTTGATCATAGCCTCAAAGAGCTTGATGATGACACTAAGGATGCTGATATTGATATCAATATTGAAACAGGGACACACTTTCTCACATCCTTGAAGACAGGACAGACAACTGATACCTTCCATAGACTTGGGAAACATTTCTCCTTCAGGCAGCTAGTGAACAGCTTTACCATGATTGGGCTATGGTTCTTAAGAACTACCACTTTATCCAGACCAGTAACCTTCATAAAGTCAGGGCTTTTGATGAGTCTGGAAACTTCCTGTATCATAAGAGATATCAAAAAATTATAGTCTGAGGGAAGTTGGGTAGGAGATGTCCCTTGTCAGCTAATATACAGTTAAGGGCAAAGTTAGCTTAGTCATATCCGATGCGGATGAGATAACCTCCGGGCCACTTATAATAGTAGGCACTGACAGCTTGTCTCTATTGAGAATTTTGTTTGAAATTTTCCAGAACTTACAGGAACCAGGTATTAAGATATATCAATATATTGTTCTTTATAAACACTTACAAACTAGCACACTAGATAAAGAAAAAATATTCTGGCATCAGTACATCTAATAATATTTAAAATGTAAATACCCCCCCACCCCAAAAAAAAAAAAAAAAAAAAAAAAAATGTACTATTTGGTCACTCACCTTGTACCATCTTTTCCATTAATAGTATTAATGAGGACAGTCAGTTTCTCTGTGTTCAAAGCCTGCAAGCAATAAAGCAATATAAACAAAAAGGTGTTAATCATGCAAGTCAATCAGTCAGAAAAAGTTTGTATGAATTGAAGACACAATTTACCAAGTTTTTATTTTTTTTAAATCAAGAATCAGTTACACACAGCTTCATGGTTCAAACACATTTTACTTTGATGTGTCGATTATAACCAGTTTTAAATTAATGATTAGGAACTCTTTGAAAATACCATCAATTACATTATAGATAAAACTAATTAAACAAAACCTTATACATCATATTATGGCAATTTTAGATATGCAATTCTTTTGGTAGGGGAGTACAATAAAAGTAGTGTAATTTTATAAACTTCAGAAAAATTTTCATTTCAAAAAAATATTAAATCCTCAAAATGCTAAATCTAATTGATTTAGCATTTTGAGGACTCAATATTTTTTGACAGGCAGTGAAATTAATTCTTTATCATTTAAGTTGTTTATTTTTTTTTAATTTCATGGTCATAGAAAAGATAGATTTACCAGAAGAGATATGGATTATATAAAATGTATTCTGTATAGAATTTATTAAAAATGAATGAATGAAATCATTATTTGTATTCTAGAAAATTCAGTGATAATTTGGTAATGAGAAACACCAATAAAAAATAATTATAGACATTATCACAAATAACTTAAATTTTTAAAGTATAATAGTTGATTCAGAGTAAAACTTTAATGCTCAATCAGTAAAAAGCAACAATTCACATCATGAAAGCAGAGTTTTTGATACGTAATCACTTAATGTTCCAATTTTATTAGGACATCAATTACAAAATTCCAGTATGAAATTAGGGTTTTTACATAGGATACAAAACTTTATTTAATACATTATTTACACCCATTTTGCCAGATTCATAAAATGATGAAATACATTAACAATTTAGAAGGAACCATAAGTTAATAAGTAAATTTATTTATGATAAAAAGGTAATTCCATGATAAGATGACACTTACCTCTTCTCCAAAATTAACTACATCAACATTCACTTTTTCCTTCTTTAATTTTTTACCAATTTTCACCAACTTGCAAAGAAAAATATTAAACATAAAAATAAATCATTAAGCAAAACAGAAAATTTTAAATACTATTTTACTAGAAACCAAATTATCTTAAGATGCAGACATTTATATATATATATATATATATATATATATATATATATATATATATATATATATATACAAATAAACGTGCAATCAATTTACAAATACATGAATTATTCACACAAAACTAATGCAAAGGTTAATGATTTAAATGGCGAGACATCCATCATCGCAAAACAATTCAAATAGTATACAAAACCTCCAGATCCGTTATGAATGAATTGATCCTTGTTTATATAAATTTCTGCCGTATTAGTTGTTATTTTTACTACAAGCTTTCGTCTGTTCCTACAGACATCTTCAGGTATAGAATGGATGTTGTTCTTGTTTTTTTCTCTTAGTAATAAGAGGACAACGAAAATATGTGTTGTTGTATCCGAAAATGCTATTGAAAATGAGTTATTGTTTTTTGAACGTGCCAAAGCAACGCTGAGTTTGATTTTAAATTTTTAAAGTGTTTGCGTTCATACCAAATATGGTGATGAACAAATTTTTTTACTGGTAAATTTTTCTGTCAAAGTGGCATGAACTATATTGTTCAATAATTACTTTTAGATAATAAGTGCGACATTACTGTAATTATTGAACAATATAGTTCATGCCACTTTATATATATATATATGTGTGTGTGTGTGTGAATATATATATAAAAATCCAAATTATTATATATATATATATGCACGGTACTTATTAGAAAGTGCTCAATATCAGTGATAGAGCTAACATATTTAGTTTGATTGATGTGAGTTTAGACCCTAGATTTCCGCACGCTTTTGTGTTTGACAATCACAAAAGCATGAAACCCAGGTCACAAACTCACATTAATCAAACTATATATATATATATATATATATATATATATATATATATATATATATATATATATATATATATATATATTAGTGGTTCTCTCTGATAAGTTTAAGTTGCACATGATCAACTTAAAAAAATAAACAATTCATACTCTGAAATCCAACACTGACAAGCACATCAACAGGCTATGCAGCAGAGAATGGCTTCATCCAAACAGACTGAAACTCCCCAAGAGAAAGTAACCTTGAAATAACTTCTGCCAAAATTAGGAGTCTTCTATCCAGGCCTTATGAAAAGAAAAGAAATTCTCCAAATTTACTTCAGATATTCAAGAACAGGTGCAACAGCACTATAGTTTCATCCCAGGTACAAGGAAAGACTGTGAGGTATCAGCAGGACATATTTCACAGTACCAATTACTTAATTTGCAACTTTCAATGTCTATAAAGATTCTTCAGTTAGAGATTATAATGTTATTTATGCAGACAAAGGACAAAAACAAGCATGAAAATTGTTTGTGTTTACAGTTATGCAAGTAGCTATGGTCATTACTAGTCAGGAGCACAGAAATAGAGATCTTGTCATTCATCAAAGAGAGAAAAGCAAAGACAAACTATGCATATGATGTGCACTACATCCTCTCCTGTATACAAGAGCTAACAATCTTGGAAGCAAACCAAAACAAGATCAACATATTAAAATCAGTTTCAGCTGTGACTTATTATGCATGCCAATTGAAGCTACAACCAAGAAAATTCAGTCACCTGCATCTTGTGATATTTCTTCAATATTTTTCTCTTCGCTAAAATCGAGAATGAAAGGTTATACATCACCAGTCATTAGAAGGAGCTTTAAATTGATTACTGTGTAAATCTCCAGTTTACTGATGACACAACAAGCTGGTCATTTTGGTATCAAGCCTCACATTAGGGTCAAAGTACATGCATGAGCAAATTCAGGACTATGAATGTCCTGACCTATTCATTACCTCCACCTCTAAGCTGAAGTATTACAAGTATTTACTCCACAAAGAAACAGAATTTGTTTGTAAAAGTATTAAGACAAAACTTATAAATCCTAAGAAACTCTTTGAAGATGTTATTTTGGTTACATGTTCTGCAGCATGTAGTACACCACTGAGAAACAGAAGCGGAGCCTTTCATGTCGACATCCTAATATGACTCAAGAGAGAATCCATCCCTTACAGACTGATTGTCATTTCTCCTATGATCATCTGAATTTTAATTGTCAAGGCATAAAATCATCAAGAAGGGCAAGAAAATGAAAAAAAATGCTTCAAGAAATATCCTGAAAGAACCCAATAATGTTACTCTCTATAAAGGAAAAGGAGATAAGAACTTAGTCATACTGAAGGAATTAATTTAAATGTGATGGAATGTTCTGGGAAATCACTACTGACAACAGGTGGTTAGTTCCTTATTGCTCAGTACCTTTGTGTATGTTCAATGCCTACAACAATGTTGAGCTGTACAGCTGCATCAATTTCATCAAATATATCTGCAAATACATCAGTAAGTGCCTAAACATGGTTAAGTTTCAGCCTGTAACAGACTGATAGAAACAAAACCACATAGTATCAGACAGGTTATTACAGCAGCAATAATAAAAGATCCTGGAGGATTTTAAACTTTCCAATTCATGAGAGGTACTCTGCAATTGTGCAGCTGGTAGAACATCGTGAAAAAGAGAAAGTATTTTCTATTGATCAGAAAATGCTTGGCAATTAGCTCAGGCACCACCAAAGACCACCCTGCCTTCTTTCTTGGAATTGTGCCAAAGTGATGAATTTGCTAGAATTTTCTTTGATTGGGAGATGGCAAATATTAGTGGTTGACTACAATTAAATTTCCTAAGAAGAGTCTAAGTATTCATACAAACCAGTTTGGATTCTTCCCCATTTCATACACTACTACATGAGTTGAGAAATCCTCAATCATTTGATAAATTTTGCATTGTTGATGGTAAAATTTGCTCCACTTTCTGTGACACATGTTAGTTCATGGTCTTGCTGGAAGATGATTCACACTGGATGCTTCTCTTGAGAAAACTTTAGTATCTTACATTTTTAATGCCATCATATTGCATAACTATAGCCTCCCCTCTCCCCACTTTGGGAGAACCACCAGGAAAACTTCTCTGAAAAACATTCTCTATGGACATCAGCAGCATCAACAGCACATTCAAGTTGAGTTCAATGATGAGATCTTCAATGAGGCACTGATTTCCACTTCTCTTGGTAGCAAGATCAAAAACAGACCATACCACAGGCACTTCAGAGAGAGGTCAGCTACAATATACCCAAGCTGCAAATTTTTGTTCAGTACAATCTACCAAAACTTCTTATTGAATAAAATGAAGCATGTGTCATCATAGTGCAAAGTAACAAAAAGGAGGCTCTATTTCCTCAATGTACTTGGTGACACTGAAAAGACATTTATTATCAATACTCTCCTTGCAAACATGTATTAAAATAGACATATTGCACTGGTGGTGGCCTCTTTTGGAACAGTTGTCACTTTTGCCAGGTGGCTGAACAGCTCATTCTACCTTCAAATTGTCCTTGAATCTTTCAAATATAAAGACTTCCAAGTGTAACATTTGAAAAAGAATTGCACTGGTTAAATACTCAGGAAATGTTTTCTCATGATCTGGGGTCCATGTCCATAAAGCTACTTTTGAGGTTGCTGACAAATTACTTCAAGACACGAGGAAACAAATCTGTCATGGGTAGTGAGTGTTGCCATAGCAGACGATTTTTGACAAATATTATCCTAGCTAATGATGTGTCACATCATCTTACTTTTAACCTCATTTTCAGAAGCTACAGCTCTCAAAAACATGAGTCTATCTGCAAGTGGATTAGAATTCAAGCTATTTCTCCAAACCCTCTTATTCTGTGTGATGAAAAAGTTAACTCTAGATGCAAGTGGCCAAATTGGCATTAAAAATATTGCAATGGTAGTGAAATCCACAAAGAAGTCTGCATTTTCCAAAATGGCCCCAAACTACAGAAACTACTAGTGATTCTGAAAGCAAGATATTCATGTTCCAAATAATGATACAATTAAAGAAGTAAGTCAAATCTGTCGCAATAGATTCATAGTGATTTAGCTGTACATGTCATATTTTCAAACACCTCACAGGCTTTTCAGAACATAAGTGAGTTCTTCACCACTATAGAGGTTCTAGACATTTCTAGACAGATTTCATATAAAAGTTGGGATGCCCATCATACTTATCAGGAATCTCAATCCTCCAAAATTGTGCAGTTGAACTCACCTATCAATTTAGCTTTGCCCACATGTCATTGAGATATTTATTCTAACTGCGGTAGGAAAGAAAGAGGATGTGTCCATTCCTAATGAAGGAAGGATCAACTTTCCTGTGATTATTGCTAGCCTCAACCTGACTTCTACATGCTTTATCCATGTTCTATATTGGTTGTTCTATAGTAGAATCCCCAAAACCTTTTATGCTGACACCCAGTGAGGGAAGTATTGATGTTGTGCATCTAGAAGCAGTGTCAAATTAAGGAGCTACAGTATTTGTTTTGCTTTGTGCATCATGTTTCTGTTAAAGTTACTTTGTCATGTGTAAATAGTGCAAATAATCTTTTTTTTCAGTTTGTGCTTTGTAAGAAATATGTCAAAAGAACATTCTTTTTTTGTATTTTTTTTTTGTTATATTTAAGTTATTTTCTTCTCTGAACAATGCCAGGTATCTCTGCAAATATTGATATAATAATTCTATTTTATTATTAATTGTTGTTAATCTCCTACTGTGCTTAATTGATAAAATAAATTTTCTATGTATTTAGAAAAAAACAAATTAAATTAATAATCAGAAATTTAAAAGGAAACATTAACAAATGAATCAATATCACAATTTTTACTGGATTATTTTTCAAACTGAAAAGAATTTACCTCTTTTTCATCATCTTCAATTGGACTTCCCACAAATATCACAATTCTCATTTTGTGATTCCTGCCTTGGCGATGCTTCAGAGCCAACTACAAAATTCACAAACTGTACTAATCAGAATTTTAAAAAAAATATTCATTCACCAAAATATAATTTTTGCATATTACTTCAAACCTATAATTAAAAAAAAAAAAAAAAAAAAACAAAAAACACTTTATCATCAACAAATGATTTAAATTAATGTAAATTTCCTAATTTACAAAATGTAATAAACATCAAGAGTTAAATAGTAGTTTAACTGAATAATTAATCTATAAATGTGGAAAGAAATGTTTGACTTACATGAGCAACTCTGATGGCAGTTCCAAATTTGATGTAACCATTTGGTTGAACTTGATGTAATTTAGATAATATCCTACCAACATCTGTTGTAAGAGTGACAAGGACTTTAACACTGATTAGAAAAAGAAAAAAAATAAACAAACAAATGAAAGCTAAAGAATTCAAAAAAAGTCAAGGTTAATATGAGGAAGATATAGATATAAAAATTGATTTCTCACCTTTCAATAAGAACTTTGACAAACAAGATAAATGAACCAAATTCTTCTTGTATTTAGCCTTCCATAAGTTATAGTTTAACAAAAAAAAAAAAAAAAAAAGTAAACCTTTAGCATTCTACATTATTCACAAGTATTATTCCTCCTTCCTATCTGAATTTCTGAGATGAAGAGTCATATTTACATGGCAAACCCTTGTCCTCATCTTTTTATTTATTTTTTTTTTTTATTATGACATTTCAACCTCTAGCTTTCATCAGATGCTTATTGATCTGGATAAAATTTGTGAATTTTGAAGATTGTCCTTCTGGACAATAGCCTAATACCCTTGTAGATTAAATAGAAGGTTCAGTTCAAAATTCAATAAAGTTTATTCAGATCCACAAGGAAGTAATTGCTACCTCTTCTCATGACAAATTGTCTGAAGAGAGATCAGTCACACTTGAGTTAGACTCTGAATTGTCTGTCTGTAAGGAGTTGTTAAACACACTTCATTCAAGTTTAATCACATTCTCATCATTATGCAGATATGTGATTGTGTTTACTCACCTTGCCCAAAACAAGACATTTTTTAACATGGTGTGGTATCCTGTTGACCAATATTGAATGCAAACTGTTCATCTGTTAATCTTCACATGAGAAATTTAGCCATACATAAGCAATGTGGAGCCTTTATCCTGACAAGATCTTTCACCTCAGATGTTACATACTTCTTCATAAGTTCAACTTGAGATATCCTTTATCCTGGCATGGAAGGTGCATTTGAAGTTGAAATGTCATGCTTTGGTGTTACACTATACCAGTACACAGCATCCATTATAGAACATTATTTTCTGGTAGCAATTCTTTTGATGCTCCAATGGTATCTTTTCACTATCTATGAGTGATGGGCAATGTTTAACACCACAATGACAAACAGGCACACTGTCATACTTCCAACTCCCACACTGGTACTGGGTCTATACATTGGCATGCTTCACATTCAGTGACCACTTCCAAAACTGACAAAAACCACTGTCCACCAAAACTATGTGCTGGATTTCACTGACACAGAACCATTCATATCTTGCTTAGAGAGGAGAATGGTACTGACATCACACTGATCCTGGTCTCCTTTTCCTGGCATCCTGAAGAAATGCAGCCTACTTTATAGTATCAGCATCATCACACTGAGTACTGCTTGTGTACAAGTGTGACTTGATACAAGCAGTCTCCTGCAAACTGATTAAAGTTAGACCATCTGTAGCAGGTGACATTAGAGATTGTTTCAGTTCTAAAGTGTGCTTATCGGGCAGTTACAAGAACTGGTTCTCTATGTACCATTTCATTTTTCATTATACTCTGGAAACTAAGCAGTAGTAGGTTCACAATCAAATCCATTGGACAAGGAATGAAGGAGCTGATTTTGGATATAGTATAACAAACTTCTGCAACACTGCAAGGTATACATCCACATACTTGCCTCCTCACAAATTTCATGTTAAAAACTGTTCATAGGCCAAGAACAAGCTTGTCATGAAAGCCGTTTGTAAAGTATCTTTTATTTGTTTGACACTGGGTTTATCCTCTCCACTTAGCTGGTGATAAATAGTAAATGCTCCACCTGTCAAACATAACAAAAGAACTCACTGAAGTCCTACCTTCTCAATCCATTAATTTAAATATTGGCCAATTACCAGGCCATCAAATTCGAGACTAAAATGTTTGCCTTTTTTTTCTCACATTGCTAAAATTGCTTGTTGAAAAAATAAATAAATAAATAAAACTGTCACAACTTGGTAAGGGGAGAAGGTGTCTAATAACAATGACAATGCAGTTTAGTTTTGGTGACTATTGTCTGCAGAAGCAACACGTTTTTTTATTAATACATCTAACTTATTATAAAACGCACATTGTGTGTGTCTGTACGTTTATATATTGGATCAGATTTCCTACATTTTTCAACCGATTTCAACAAAACTTCACAGGACTACGTAAAATTACCTTGCGATGGTTCTGACAGCGCCAAAAATTGGAAAAACAATTGTTTTTGCATGAAATCAATTTGAAAACACGATTAAGAGGCATCGCGAGAATGAAAGGGGGACAACTTATATCGAGTTATACTTATTATAATACCCAGGTGTTGTGTGTGTGTGTGTGTGTGTGTTCATTTATATATGGGATCGGATTTCCTACATTTTTCAACCGATTTCGATTTCAACAAAACTTCACTTTTTTTTGGCAGGTAGCGTTTCTTATTGTCTTGCACACTTTTTTCTTTATTTTTAGATTCAGAATGCTTTAAAAATTCCATTTACAAGACAATTGTTTATAATAAAATTCTATTCAATTGGTAGACTCATAACGATTGAAAACAACGTTTTTGTTTGAGTTTGGATTTGACCAATTCGTAAAAAAAAAAAAAAAAAAAAAAAAATTAAGACATGCGTGTCCGTCAACCTTAAACAATAATCTTTGTCAATTTTATTTTTCAGTCTTTATGATGGTCGATACTTGATCTATCTCTTACTGTTACATCCCCGGGCTCTACTGCTAGTACACAATATGGCAGACATGGTACTTCCATGTCTGAACAATAGCTGAAACAGTGCTTCTGTTTCCTTAGTTTCTGGTTACAACATTCCTCTCCATATTACTCAAAATTTAATTAAACAATATTATTGTCATAAACCGTTACTTAGGTGGGAATGTTCATGGGCGTTTTAAAAGAACACTGAGGAGACACGTTACCAGGGGCAAGAATTATTTCACTTCCTGTCATAGTTACATCATCATCTTCCATGTCTGAGTCCTCTGTAATTCTATCATCTAGAAATTCCTTTTCAGTAAGTTCCCTCACTAAGGCACTGCATCACTTTCCTGTGGTAAGTAGTTTTTATGCTTGTGTGCAGCTGCTTGAGCTCACTTTCAGCCTTACTTCTGTTTCCTTGCATTTCTGAAAATGTGTCCTGACAGGCTTTCTAGATTGCTGATTTTCCCCTATCAGTCTATCTCTCTAGGGTACAAGATGCTGATTACCCCACCCCAAAGTATGTGTCTGAGTTCTTGCTTGGCTAGCTCTTTCAGACATGTATCTAGTTCAGTCAGAATATTCACGCAAATATGATCCACGTCTTTTCCATACACACCCATCCTCCTGCCATACTAGAAAAATCAGTAGGATAAGTTGCTCCTAGCATACCCCAAATAGAACCCGTTTTCCTGTCGCTTCCATTCTATCAACATTTTAGTGTTGTCCATTTTACTGGTGATACACCAGGTCAAGCTAAGATCTGGGTCGTTGACCCATTACCAACATGGCTGGCAAATGACAAGTTGTTGTTTGTGGAAAGAGATGGTAGTGAGCCAGGACATGCAGTAGTTGAGTTTCGAGATCATCAGTAACCTTTTTTTAACCCACACTTGATGGTTTGTACAACATATTCAGATAGTTCATTTGATGATGGGTGATATAGCAAACATCGAACATACTTAATGCCATTCAATGTGCAAAATTTGGAAAATTCTTCACCAGTAAAACTGCAGGCATTATTCACATGAGGGTTCCTATGTGTGGCGAATGTGCCCACAACATTCATTCTGTTAATGCTGCTGATGGTGATGAAACGACATGTGCATCTATATCCTTTCTATGAGCATCCAGAATCACAAGAATCTACTTGCCTTTGATCAAGTCTGCATAATCTATATACACTCAAAACCATGACCTTCCTGGCCATTCCCATGAGTGTAATGTGCTCATTTGAGATACATTAGCCTTATCCTAGCACATAACATAAGTTCCTATACACAGTTCAATGTCTGAATCCAAATAAGGCCACCAGATATGAGCAAGGGACTTTGTGCATGAAATACCTGGGTGACCAGGAAATTCTTTAAGCAAGGTATTATGACACTTTGTGGGGATAACCACTCATGATCCCCATAAAACACAACACAATTGTACTGATAACTACAACTTCCTGTTTGTGTACAGTCAAAAATCCTGAGATTCATTTGTACATTCTTGTATGATCCACTTACATACTCGAGATAACATGGGATCCTTGAATGCATACAAAGCAACAGTTTTCACTGTGACACGAGTTGAATCAAATGCCGTTATAGAGAGTACCACTCCCTCTAGACAATCTAATGGTGTAAAATAGTCCTCCATCAGTAGTCAACTTAGCCCGTCTGCATTGGCAATCTTTGAATCAAGTTCGTATACAAGCTGATAGTGGTAGTTTGAGTGTACCAATGCTCATTGCTATACTCTAGCACTTACTGTGTATGATATCACTCAGTCCTCTTTTAAAATCCCAAGCAAGGGCTTATGACTAGTAATGTGTGTAACTTCCTGGACGTAAATATATTTATGGAATTTGCTCACTCCAAAAGTTACTGCTAATCCTTCATGTTCTTTCTGTGCATAATTCTGTTCTACTTTTGATAATGTTCTCGAGGCAAAGTAAATTAGTTTTTCCCTTCTATCTGCCACAATATCCGACAAAACTGCCCTGGTACCAACTGGGGACGCATCCACAGTCAATATAAGTTTAAATTAAGGGTTGTAATGAACTAAAACATCAGCTGACATTTAATAAACTTTCCCAGTGCTCAAATGCAAATTTTTCAGCTATTCCCCATTTTCAGGGGGCTCCTTTTTGTAATAATGCATACAGTGTAGCTAGAACAGTGCTGATATTATTTAAATACCAACAGTAATAATTAATAAAAGCTAAATGTGTAGTTCGGATATATTTTTTGGTGTCAGTGTTCTTTGTTTAGCATTAACCTTATCCTGTGTTGGATGAATTCTTTTGGAATCAAACCTGTGACCCAGATAAACTATTGATGACTTTCCAAACTCACATTTCTCACTTCTAAGGTGGAGGCCCACATCTTGTAGTCTTTTTAATATTAAAGGCAGATTTTGGTTATGTTTTCTTCTATATTTTTGCCAGAGATTAAATCATCGTCAATATAAGCAGCAGTCATTGCTATAACTTAAATTAACTGATCTATAGTGCATTGCAAAATAATGTTCGCCTGAGACTTTGGAATACAAGTAATCTATATTTAGAATAGGGTACTTGTATATCTGTAAGGGAGGGTTTACTGTGTTTAAAAAATAGCCACAAATCCTAATTTAAGCATTTTTCTTTAACACTGGAATGATTCAGAAAATGTAACTGGTTTGATAACAACAAGAGTAACTATGTGATCCAGTTCACCCTCAACCTTTTTTCTGAGTGTTAACAGTACTGGCTGAGGTTTCATGAAACAAGGGGTACTGTTAGGTTTGATATGCAGCTTTGCTGTTGCATCTTTCAAAGTGCCCAAACCTGATTTAAAAAGCTCAGAAAATTTTTGCTCCACGTTAGTCCACATAACTTGATTTCAGGTAGCCAATCCCATTCAAGAAGATTGGGTCCAGATCTGAGTACAAACAACATTCTTAAATTATAGGTTTTCCACTGGTGTTTCACAGTCACATTGGCAACTCCCCTAAGTTCAATGACATGACCAGAATAAGTATGCAATTTTTTGCATTAAACCATTTTTAGAAATCACTGCATTAGGTAGTTTCTTGAATTGCCCCTCGCTTAACAGAGATGAACACCAAGTGTCAATTTCCATTTCACAACTGATTCTATCTAACTCAAGTTTACATGTATCAGGTTCAAGTGCATTCGAAATAACCCTATATAATGATCTGGTGTTTCATTCTTGCATGTAGTAAGACTGCTTTGCTTGTTTGTATTTGTATTGTCTTGAAAAACGATGTTCATTTTTACAATTAAAACAAGTTTTGCCCCATACTGGACACACTTTTTGTGCCATTCTCCCCCACATACAAAACAAACTTTTCCTCCCTTTTGAAATTTCATAGAACCGAGTCACCACAGACATTTTGTATATGTTGTTCATACTTCTATTATTAATGTTTGCCATGTCAGTAACAGCCTAAGCCACTTTAAAAGCATTTCCAATTACCCTCATATTTACCACTGCAAGACTTGTTTCACTGCCACTGCATGTGAACTGAATTGATTTCTCCAAGGTCAGTGCTCTCTTTTAATACTGAAATATACTATCAATATTCACATATATGCCTTGGATAAAAGAGGATCTTTTTTCTTGCAAATGCTAAACCATAAACAGCTTACTTGATGTTTCTTTTTAAGTTGTCTGCTAAGTCATGCCCACAGTTTCAATCACAGATAAAAAAAAGAATAAAGCAGTTGTGTGAGTACAAAGAATTACCAAACAAATAAAAGTAGCAATGCCTACGTCAGTTTTAAAGTTTCACAATTATGAAAAATTTCAGCTAGATAAAATATTAAATTTATGTTGCAAAAATACTGCACAAGAGGATAATGTTTGATTTCTAATTATAGCTACAATGTTGATCAGGTACCAATCATTTAATATCAGAAAATGAAAGAAACAACATGTAAGCTTGACTAGTTAAAAAAAAAAAAAAAATAAATAAATAAATAAATAAATAAATAAAAAAAAACAAAAAAAACATTACTTACTCAGACATAACTAAAAGGCCCACATTATTTTCAGGATTTGATCGAGTTTTTGACAAGCACACTATATTGACAGCATCTTGCTGGGCATGGAGTCGGGTGGGTGTGAAGTCTCCATTTCTCATGAAGTCACTGTTATCCACACTTAAAAAAAAAAAAAAAAAAAAATAATCAAAACCTTTCTGTTCATTTATTTACAGTCACAATTTCAGTTTCATTATGGCTCAGTTAAAAGAAGAAAAACAAGGCTTTTTATATTTGCTTAAAAATGTCAAGCTTCAAATAAAATAAAAAAAAAAAAAAAAAAAAAAAAAAAAAAAAAAAAAAAACAATTTCATATTAAACAACCCCATATAATGTTCATGCAAATAGTAATATCTTCAAAGTTTATTCAATCATTTTTTTTTTTTTTTGCTTGTGTGTATATTGAGAAATATTTTTTGAAAAGGTGGATTTTACTTTATTTGGGTGAAAATTATAGGACATAAACTGCACATTTGATGCTGTTTACTTTACATGTTTAATCTAGGAAACGCACAGAAGCTTGGCAATGGATTAATGAAATTTATCACCAGAAATGGTTTGCAAAGTTTTAAAAACAATCTTGAACTCAAAAACAAATAACATGATGGAAGACCTCAGCATCTGAAAATGATGAATTGGAAAAAACTTTTGAAAGAGGAGCAAGTGTATGAACATACAGGAAATGAAAGCATGACATTTTGAAAATAATATTGGCAATATTTAAGCATTTGTTTTTTTCTTTTTGTTCGACACAATAAAAAAAAGTTATTTCTGAATAAGATAGCCAATAATAATAAAATACATATATATTTTAGAACCTAAAATAAAGCTAAATGGAATCTATGGGGTGGGGTGAATTTAGTGGAATTTAAAAATAATTATTTTTTATAAACTGGAGAAACTAATAGTGCACAATTATAAAGTTTGTATGACATTGGACAAAAAAATTAAAAAACAACCTTTTCTTGAGTAAAGAAGTTGACCAGTGCTTTTTTTTCTGCAAGACAACAATCATCTGTCTGTTGCAAAAGCAATGTAGTAAATGATTAAAGATCTAGGGTGAAAAGTTTTTCACATATGACACATTCTCCAGACCTATCACTTGTTTCATTCAATTCAACCCTTTCTCTGGTCAGTGGTTCCAAAAAGCTCAAGATATATAAAAAAAAAAATCTTCAAAAGGGATTCATTGAATCAAAACACTGTTTTATAATAAAATACAAAATTTACTAGAAAAGCACTATAAAGTTGCTGAAAACCAGGAAAAATATTTTTATGACCAAATAATGAGGCTATGAATTTATATGAAAAAAATTTGTTAATCTATAAATGGAAATCTTTACATCAATCTAACCATGAAGTTCAAAACAAGAGGATATTTATATTGAAACAATTCTTTTAAGTACTATCTTTTCTTTCTCTCTCTCTCTATATATATATATATATATATATATATATATATATATATATAATCATTATTACAATACAGATGTTGAATTCAGTAGGTTAGGAAGATAAGAATTTTTCTAATTTACAAAAAAATTTAGTTGAAAAATTTCAATTGCTTTGAGATTAAAATGAGAAATCAGTTTTTTTAATACTCTTAACATTAAGTGCAGCTATTTCAGGTAAGACTTTTTTCAGTCACATTACAATATTATATCTTATTTTTCAATAAATATATTTTCTTTATGTAAGTTTCACAATTAATTTATCAACTTTTATTTTGAATTTGCGAAACACACAATTAATGCACATAGAAATTTGCTCAAACTGATCAAAAAATAATACCAGTTATAAACATGTCAAATATATATGCCAAGTGCTTTGGTCCCAAGTTAACAGCATGGACAGTTATAGTAATACTGCTTATATATATATATATATATATATATATATATATATATATATATATATATGAGAGAGTCATTAGGTATAACTTGATGCTAATAATATCTTCATTTGGTTGATTCTTAGTATGCAGAAAGGAATTGCATAAATAATTCCTGCAGTATAACAAGAGTGAATATAAGACAAAAGACTACAATAAAATACTGTCAATGTTAATTGTTCAATTTTTCTGGCCACTTTGCCAAATAAATTATAAAACTTCTGATAGAGTAATGTGCCTTAAAATTGCCTCTCTAATCATGCAACTGTACATTTACTAGTCAGATCATTTAGGTTAAACACAATATAACAATAATATCAGCTAAATATGTTGTATTATGAATATCTGTTAGTAGTGAATCTATTATTTGTTTCAAGATGTTTGGCAAGCAGATGTATTGAAAGAGACCCCTGTGGGTACAGTTAATAGCTTTCTTAAATCCATAACCTTAGCAAAATCATACTTCCTATTTAACCTGGCAAATAGATCTTCAGGACACTGGCAAGTTTTCCAGTACATTATTGAAACTATTTGGAAACTCTACAGATATTAGCATTTCTTAATAAGAATTGATGCAACACATATGAAGTAATTCACTGGTTGAATGATATATATATTTTATGCACACATTCAATTCATTAATCAACAACTGATATTGCTACAGGTTGTTTTACTTGAAATGCAGGCTTTGAATCAAGACACAATCCAAGTGTAGCTTGCATTTTCATACAGTTGCCTTGTCTGTCAGTAAAGAGATATATGGAAGTTTCAACTAGTTGACTTGCTAGAGTTGTACTTTTTTAGAAATAAGAGAAGCTTACTCTGGATTTGTGTTTAACTGCAAACAGAATATTTTTCCATTAAAAGGCGAGTCATCTATTCCATCCAAACAAGTCAAAATCAGGATAGTTATATATCAAGTTGCCAGTATCCAGGTATCCCTGAACATTTTGACAGTACATCTATATTTAATTTCATCATGAAATAAATGTAATGTCAGATGTGGTATCCAAGTGAAGATAAACTGAGACAAGATTTGTACCAACTGAAACGTATTTTCTCTTAAAAAGGTAATCTTGAAGGTGCTTTAGATTGGTCTCTAGACTTGTTTTATGTGCTAATGTAGATGGCAGTTTCTATGGCATTCTTTTATTTTGTTTTTATCAATTCTTGTCTGTCATGTTGGCACATACGAAAACGAAATTTAGGGTGGTGTGAAAAGACTATCAAATCTTTGCTGAATCATAGTTTAAATATCCACAAACATAGTACCCAAGACAATTTTAGAAACATGTATGATTGCAATATGAAGATTAAGCATTTGAAATGACCCTTCTGCTAAAAAGACAATTACTTGTCAAAGATAAAACCCAAGATCTTGATGGGTTCCCCAAAATTAATTTCCCCCAAACATGCCTGGGGACGATATCATTTATATCTCATGTTCCATTATAGTGAATTTGTATACAAACAAGGATCCATAAAATACCTTCACACCTTTTAAATCATACTTCAAATATGTGATGTTTTAGTAATGAAATTCAGCAGTGGAATTGACTAATATCTGTAGAAGGTTGTTGTGGACTCCCTAAGTTAATTGTTGTGGTTTAAGTCATCATACCTTGAATTGGTATCTTTATCAGTCTTTATTAAGTACTCTCAAACTGCTGCTTCTGTTATAATTACTTAAACAATACCGCCACAGCAAGTAACTTGTTGTCAGATGATGTGCTTTTGTTAGAGTCGGCTTGCTCATTAATTGATGTTGTGTCTTCATAGCCAAACATTGTTTTAACTTTGTTGAAATAAATGTATTGATGACAGTTAAATAATTTGTTCAGCAACACCGATGTTCCAAAGCATATAGCAATGCCTCTACAAAAATGACTTTCAAAAGAACATGGTTGCCTCATAAGGACCAAAAACACAGTATATATATATATATATATATATATATATATATATATATATATGTGTGTGTGTGTGTGTGTGTGTTTCATGTAACTACATGAATTATCCAATCATTACAAACAATTATCAAGCAACATATGACTTCATTGTAATTGAATAATACTGTTTATAAGTGTCAAAACTTTAAGAGAAATGATGTTCCTGAATACAATACTTCACATAAGAAAAAAAAAATGTGTGTATATATAAAAATGAACTGTAGACATTTATAGAATTTAGTATATCTTGTTTTCAATCATTTCTGATGAAAAAATTTAAAACTTTCTTTTCATCACAAACAGCAGTTATACCTTTGTATTTAAAGACAAGAGAAAATAACAAAAAAAAAAAAAAAAAATGAAAAGCAGTAAGAATTTGAATGATGTCAGCTAGTTGTACATGTAGATACATTAGATGCCAGAATTATTTAGATTTTAAAATTAATGGTTTCTGCATCTTTAGCATTTCTCTGGAGATATAATTAAAACCAATGTTTGTTTGTACTTTATTCCCTCCCCTTATATAGTGTTTTTTCAAGTGTAGCTTAGATGTGGCACAAGGCCGAAAGTATGGGGCACCCAGCGAGGATGGAACTCACTATTCAGTCGTAATTGTTCTAGCAAGACAAGCTTGCTAACCATTACATCACCTCAAGGTGCCCCCAACCATATATATATGATCCAATCAATAAAAATACTGTTTAGTCAAATCTTTTTGAAGTGTGACACAGGATTTTTTTCTATTTTATCATTCAATTATCAACATCTCTAATTCTATGACCCAATATTTTTTAAAAAGCTCAATAAAATATAAATAATTTCTACTGATATTGGTTGTAATTTCAAAATCCTTACCAAAACCCATTCTAATTAACTTTCATATTTTAACATCTGTTTTTCCTATACTTCTTATGGTGTTAATCTTAGAAAATCATATTCAGCCTGTTTGACCACTTCACTCAATATAACTAACAAAAAGCACTGAACAGAGATTTTTTTTGCAACTCCCAATCTTACTTTTAGTAAATATGCACATATTGAATAACATACAGATTGAAAATAAACAGTATCGACTAGCAACCAGTGAACTTATTGAATGGCAACCAATTTGGGTTAATATTTATTGTCCAAAAAATAAATTAAAAAAAAACTGAGATTAGCTTCAGCATAAAAATATGTATTCAGTACTGAGGAAAAGACCATCATAAATTATTCAAGTCAATAACATTTGATCAAAAATTAAATTATAGGTACCTCCAAAGTCCAAAGGAATGCAATTAAAAAGAAAATGTATCACTCACCTGAGAAAGGATTAAATTTTATTCATTAGAAGTTAATAAAATTTGCACTGTAAGTGACACATTTTGGGTATTAAATCAAATCCTAAATGTATATCACAAAATCATTTAGTAACGAACAGTTTTTGTCTTAAAAACTAAGGATTTAAAAAAAAAATACACTTTTTTTTTTTTTCATTATACTTTTTTTAAAAAACTTAAAGAAAACCAAGCAAACACATACATGCCGTTATAAATTTAAAAAAAAAATACAGGTGAATTAAGATACACATACAAAATAATGGGGAAATGTACATGTACATTAGAAAATATGAAAATTAATTGAAGATTGAAGTTTTAAGGCTTTAGTAAGACTCTCTAGAGAAACATATTTTCAGTCACAAACTATAAATATTGAAACAAAAATAAAATAATCGATTTACTCCCCTGGAAAGAAACAAAAGATTTAGAAATCAAGGTGAAATTTGAAAAAAATGAAAAGAAACTTAAAGAAACTGAAATGCAAATTAACAGAAATATAAATGATTATAAATGCGATTTATGATAAATAGACGAAAATAAATAAATAAATAAAATAATGAATCTCCACTAAAGAGAAAATTTCAAAATCTAAAATTTATCAATACCTTTTCATTTCAACTCTAATTTTATAAAACTATCCATGAAGAATTAAAAATCCAACTACTTCATTTATTTAACTCCGAATTCAGGGCGTAATTGTATATAAAAACACTTTATAACTGAGTGAACAAACAAAAAAAAGGGAGTCGTTTTTTAAAAAAAGTGGAGGGGGGAATTAGATGAAGTTTTTGCAGCGTCACTCGCACTGCTACGACAAAATGCCGGTTCGATCTGAATATAAACTGATATTAAGACATGAATCAATATAAAATATTTTGCACAAATGGTTAAAAAAAACGTATTACAAAACGGAATGAACGAGAAATTGTAAGTATTAAATAAATTTGATGCTTACCACACCATAGTACTTTCGATCACCATCTTGCCAAATTTCCTTGACACAGATTCGGACTGAATACGGATTCAGTGATAATTCATAGATACTAATTAAAGTAACAGAGTCGTAGAAATTAAGATATTTCTAAATATTACTTAAATAAAAAATACTAATGAAATTTTTAAACAATTTTTAGTTTATTCATTATACCACTAAAAATTATTTCTCTTTTAAAAATGAATTAATGCGATACTACAAATTGAGAACATATTTCCGGTATGTAAACCCGGCAAAATTTTTCAAAACTTGTTACAGCTTTGTTTTGATGTGACGCACTCATTCTTAATAGTTTGACTTATGAATTATGATTTAAAAACATTTTCAATATCTAAAGCTATGAAATTGTTGTTTTTTTTTTCAAGTTCTGTTTTCAATATCAAATAGGTTAGCGGTAAAAAGATGCGTAAAGATAAACAAACAAGACGAGAGCAAAAGACTCCGTTTGTCTCATTTTCATAACGATAATGTGTTAACAAATTCTTAGAAAATATTTTCGATGTTGTTCTGTAGTGTACACTACTACATATATGGATCCTCTTTACTAAGTTGCTGAAGTATTATGGTCAACAAAATAAGGTTTGAAAAAGTATTAAAAAAATTCGTACTCAGTTATTTTACGCAATGAAATCCATACGTTTTACGAAAAAAAGTGATATCTTTTTTATTAGGCTATCGTTGTTTTGATCCGTATTTTTTTTTTTTTTAATGCCATGTCCTTTAGGTGATCACGACTCCCCACATTTTTTTTTTTTTTTAATTATCCGGGAATTGATGCATTCTTAAGATACAAATGATTTACGTTACCTTCTCCACCGTTTTGAATTCATAGTTTTCCTTCTCTTTGCCTGGCTGCCACACAAAGCTAGAGAGAACTAAGTTAACCAACAGGTAGCAGAGAGGAAATGGATTCCATGCCTTTCCAGGGCGCTTTTGTGTGAAAGTGAATGAAACAGACTATCCCGGAATTTAAACTCAGCGTCTTACCGATTCCACTTTTCCCAGCGATATTCATTACATTGCCCACGCATCCGTTTAGTTTTTTAGTATATTTTTTGGTTTTTGTTAACTTAAAAAGTCAAGCTAAAGTGGTCAGAGGTATGTGTATCTGTGTATAAAAAAAGTAAATGAACACAAAAAGAATCTTATACACAACAATTTATCAAGTGCATTAATTATGCACAGCAATAAAAAATTCAACCGCAACTTAGATCTAAAGAATGTCACACTTATTAAAAGAGAAAGTAACTAAAAATGGAAAATTCTCGAGAGTGCCACTATTGATTGAATATTCAATATATAAATCTGCGACCAGGATTTTTAAAAAATATCTCCATTCTTGAAAGAATATTACTTACTACTACTATTCCAAGCCAAAATACATAAAAATGTTTAAAAAATTAAAAGAAAACAGTTAAAAAGTCATGACCTGTTATTTAAAAATATAATACATAAATTTATCCCATACTAAAATAATTTAAATAATAATTGCATAAGAAAAAAAAATTCTACATCATTTACTCACTTTGTTTATTAGAGATTACATCATTTACCATTTTTCATAATTTACCTAGACTTTTTCTTTTGATCTGCTGAATATTTATGAGCATCTCTTAAATTGAAAACTTTTGAAAAACTTAACATTTTTACATTTGTTTATAAAAACTTGTTGCAAATTAAAAATTGTTGCATTTACCTTGATAAAGTCTGTGAGAAGTCAAATTGTGTCAGCTAAGTTTTCCTTTTGTCTTTATTTATTTTTATGTATATATAGGTAAAATGTGTATGTATATAAATATATATATATATAAATATATATATGTAAAATGTGTATGTATATAAATATATATATATATATAAAATGTGTATGTATATAAATATATATATATATATATAAATATATATATGTAAAATGTGTATATATAAATATATATATATGTAAAATGTATCTATATAAATATATATGCAATTTTTATATATATTATATATGTGTGGTACTTATTGGAAAGCGCTCAATATCCGTGAGAGCTAACATTTAGTTACATCAATCCAACTATAATTATATATATATATATATATATATATATATATGATGCACAGATAGTGTAATGGTTACAGGCATGGAAAATGAAATTGCCGAGCCATATTCAAATTCTAGCCAATTCTGTTTTTGTTCATTTTGCACTAATACCCTTGGAAAAGTCATGAATCTCCCTCCAGCTATGGGTTAAATAGCAGGGCAGACTGAGCTCTCTTGCCTTGAGTGGCAGCTAATCCAAAAGAAGGAAAACTGAATTTGAACCTAAGTAGGGCAGTTTAGAACATTGTGGCATATTACACCATTTTCTTTGTAAGTTCTTCCCAAAACTGTGTAATGGTGTGAAGATGTGGTTGTTGATACACACCAAATCTACAGATAGTCTTGTTACTTAAATTTTAGCAGCTGCCACCCTACCAACCCAATAATAATGTGTCTGTTCTGACACTAGAGATTACAAAAACACATGGTATCTGATCAACCACTTATTCAATAGAAATTACCCCTCAAAACAATTAAAAAATCAATCACTAAGGCTTCCAAACACAATAGAGGTACTCTTCTAAGCTACAAAACAAGTAAGACAAATTCTAGAATTCCCATTTTTATTTTTAATTATAACATTCATAAACTATCTCATATTTTATTTTACAAAAATTTCCAGTACCTAAAACTTGACTCCACAATTAATAAGATATTTAGTTAAATCCAACTTAACACAAGGCAACAACCTCCAAATCTACAATCATATCTTATATTGTCTAGACCAGTGTTTTTAAGCCATTTTTACTACTTTAAATTTTAATAAGGAAAAATTAGTCATGAAATTTAAATACAAGAAAATAATAAAAAAGTCTCCTGAAATAAGCATTTATTTTTAAAACATTACATTGTAAATTTAAGTATGCATGTAGACAATTTTTTAATGTTAGGTCTTATATGTGATAAATGTTAGGCTTTATATGTGAAGATTAGCAGTACAGTTTTCATTTAAAGAGATTTATGAAGAATCTATTTTTTTAGAGAGGGCAATCATGATTGATTTAAATCCCTCAAAGAAGGCAAAAGGGAAAGGATTATCCACTCCTTAAAGAATTTAACATCCAGTTTAAAATATCAAATGACAAAGACCTGATTTAGATATGGAAGCCACGTGCTTGGTGTTAAGTGTATGATGGCAGAACAAAGAAGAAATAAAGTTTTATAGAAATAAATAATTGCATTAATGTAAAATACAAAATATGATAAATCAGTGTAAATATCGCATTGAACGGAGTTGTAAAAGGCAACTTAATGTGCCGACAGCTTTTGTTGAGCTGTCTTTTGGAGATGGGAGGTCGCTTTCTGACAAAGTCTGATGAACCTGGGCCAAGATGCTATCCAACAGTTAATTTTCTTAAGACAATAATATTCATAATATATCTTATTCATAAAAGCAATTAAAAGCTTTTCTAATTAAATAATGTCTTACTTTTATTGCATTTTTTATTTTATGATTTAAAGCAGATTTTTGGTAACTTGAGGTCCAGTTTTACAAAAAAATTTGATTTAAATTCTGCAAGGACTTCTACTTATAACAAATATAAACATTAAACCCTACAAAAATGAATTTCTCAAAATTTATAAAATTAAGTAAGGGGGGGGGATAACATGTAAAAAAAAAAGTACTTTTACCAAGATTTTCTAAAAAGAAATGTTTCTAAAATAATTAATTTGTGAATAAGCCCTGAAAAATTAATTAAAATCTGACACTTATTTTATTTTTGCAAGACTTACTAAATCAATGTTTTTCACCACAAAAATACACTAAAATTTCCTATGCTAATTTATGGTCACCCACTGACATGAGAAAAAATAATTTTAACCAAAATTTTGAAGGTTATAAAAAGGATTAAAAACAATTTTATAATCAAAAAATATTTTGGTCTTTTGTCTTAATAATAACAAAGATTTTGACAATAAAGCTTTGTTTTTATTCAGTTTTTATTCAGTTTCTTTTCATCATGTATACTCATTTTTTAGTGAATCTTTGGAGGTACATTTTTATATATATATATATATATATATATATATATATATATATATATATAAGAAATGGACAAGGTCCGACAATTTATTTATTAAAGACATATTTTTATGTTTAACGTTGTTATTTTATAGATACAAGTATTTAAGCAAATGCTCTGTTTATGATAAACAGTATTAAATAACATTTACCGCCTGAATGTCCGGAAAATTTTCATAGAAAATTTTCGTTCTTTGACAGGATTCAACCTGCATCCTATAATGAACCGTCATATACGCTGACGTGCCTTTACCGCTTGAGCTACAAAGAACCAATCGGTAGACAAGGTTGAATTTACTGCTTATAAACTCCAACTTTCCATGAATCTCGTACATTCATAACTGCTCTGGCGTGTCGAATGTAAACAAATGACGTCATATATTAAGAAATGGACAAGGTCCGACAATTTATTTATTAAAGACATATTTTTATGTTTAACGTTGTTATTTTATAGATACAAGTATTTAAGCAAATGCTCTGTTTATGATAAACAGTATTAAATAACATTTACCGCCTGAATGTCCGAGAAATTTTCATAGAAAATTTTCGTTCTTTGACAGGATTCGAACCTGCATCCTATCGGAACCGTCATATACGCTGACGTGCCTTTACCGCTTGAGCTACAAAGAACCAATCGGTAGACAAGGTCAATTTACTGCTTATAAACTCCAACTTTCCATGAATCTCGTACATTCATAACTGCTCTGGCGTGTCGAATGTAAACAAATGACGTCATATATTAAGAAATGGACAAGGTCCGACAATTTATTTATTAAAGACATATTTTTATGTTTAACGTTGTTATTTTATAGATACAAGTATTTAAGCAAATGCTCTGTTTATGATAAACAGTATTAAATAACATTTACCGCCTGAATGTCCGA